AATATAATTTTAAAATTAAATATTATAAAAAATTGGAAAATAGCTAAGTTAATATCTTAAATTAAAAATTTAATTATAAAATTAAAAAAAAATAATTAAATCTATAATATTAAAATAGTATAAAAATAAATTAATTAAATATATTTATTAGATACTCGTAGTAATAACTATAGAAATTAAAAATCCTATCTAATACTTTATTATAAAAGTAAATAGAAAAGATAAATTATTTAATTAAAAGTTCAAGATAAATAATAATTTATTTACTAAAGATAAAGATAGAATTATATATTATTAAAATCTTATATAAATTTTTTAGAAATTATAGAATATAATTATTTAAAAATACCACGACAATCCAACGCGAGGATATTTTAAAATTAAAAAAATATTAAAATAGATCGCAAGGAACTACTATTTTTTAAATATAATAAAATAAATTAAAAAATATATTAAAAAATATAAAATATATATTAAAAATAAACTAGCGAGATATAAATTATATAAATTTATATAATTATTAGATATATTTTCAAAATTTTAAAAATAAATTATAATCGATTTTGTAAAACTACTATTTAAATCAAAAAAATAGAATATAATAATAATAATAATAAATTAATTTATTAAATATATCTATTTAATACTAAGTAAATCAATACTTAATATAGTATAATTTATATATATACTATTTAACTATATTTTTATTTATTATAAAGTAATAGAAAAGGTTATATTAAATTAAGATAAGCTATTTATATTAAAATTTTAATAGTTACTTATAAATTTAATAGAAATAAATTAGAAATTAACTACGGTATACTATTTATAAAAAAATAGTTAAATAGAAAAAATAAACTAAATAATTAAATAATATTTACAATACTATATTAATTATTAATAAAATAATTAAATAAATCTATTATTAATAGTATAGTTTATATATAATAATATAGAATACTTAATAATAGAAATAATATCTTTTTATATAAATTATAGATACTATACCAAGTTAATTAAAGAATTAAAAAATAAATATTCTATTATAAAAGAAGTTAATAAAATAATTAAAAATTTAAAGAACTTATAAAATTAACTATTTCTAAATATTAAATTCTTTAACTACTACACGATAATTTACTATAATTAATAATATAAAAAGAGATCTACCTTTAAAAAAAGAGAAAAAGTATTTTTACTCCGTAGAAATATTAAAATAAAATAACTAAGTTTAAAACTTGACTATTAAAAAATTAGATTATTTAAAATTAAAAAATAAATTAATAATATTAACTATTAGCTAAAACTACTAGACTTAATAAAAAAAATATATTTAATATTTTATATTTTATTATTAAAATCTATACCAGAGAATATTAAAATTATTAAAAATATTAAACTCGATAAAGAAAAAATAGAATACAAAGTCGAAAAAATATTAAAATATAAATAAATTAATAGAAAACCGTATTATTTAATAAAATAGAAAGATTATAGTATCTTAGAAAACTTATAAAAGCCTATTAAAAATTTAATAGATTATTACTAACTAGTTCAACAGTACTATTAATAAAAAAATTAAAATTTACCTAAAAAAAAAGATTATTTATTATCTAGGTTAAACTAAAATTAAAAAATATAGTATCAAGGAAAATAGCGTTTAACTTATTAATAAAATACTCTAGTTTACAAAGATCTTTAATACTAAAAGAGTTCTTTTTATTAAGTTACTCTATAAATAAAGAATTATACTTTAATATATAATTATTACATTTTTTTAAAAAATATTATTATTTTTAAAGGCGAAGAATTTTTAATATTACTTTTTATATTTTTTTAGAAATATTTTAGCCAATTCTACTAGACCTTTTTAAATTTAGAAATAATCTTCTTTTAATTACAATAAAGATTCTTCTATTTATATTTATTATAAAATTATTTTAAATATTTTTAACTACGACAAGTATATTTTATATAATTCTTATTCTTAGAATTTATTACGCAGGATTTATTACTTTAGATATAATAATTATAAGGATTATTAATAATAGAACCGTTAACTAGAATTGTATAATATTAAAAAAATCTATTTCACTTATATATCTCGTTAAACACAGATATAATAAAAAAATATAATAGAAAGTTAAGAAAAGGACTATTTATCTAAATAAATCTATAACTTTATATTTTTAAGAATAAAAACCTAAAAAAAAAAGATAATATTATAATTATTTATTTAGTAGTTATTTAAAAAGGATTATAAATATTAATAATAGTTCTATTATATAATATTTACTTTAGTATCTACTCTAGAAAAAATATACCGAGGATATATAATACTATATACTATAATTAAATATACTTTATTTCTTATCTCTAAAAAAGTTATAATAAAAATAGATATTTAAAAATATATAAAAACACTTATTTTATATACTTAGTTTAATTTTTTATAATTAATTTATAATTATTACTATAGAGTTACTTTTAATAGTATAGCTAATTTTAATTCGTTTATACTTTTTTAACTATTAAATATATGTATTTAATAGGCCTAGTCTTTTGAACTTAAGTTTAGTATCGATAATAATCTAGTATCGACTGTATTCTTGTAACGACGGTAATCTAGTATTGATAATAGTTTAATGTCGACTGTATCTTTATAATAACGGTAGTCTAGTATCGACGGTAGTCTAGTGTCGACTATATCTCTATAACAACAGTAGTTTAGTATTAACAATAATCTAGTATTAACTATATTCCTATAACGACGGTAGTCTAGTATCGACGGTAATCTAGTGTTAACGGAAGTCCTAAAATAACTTCTGTCTTACCCAGACCACAACCTAATAACAACGGAAGTCGAAGGCCAACTTCAGATTAGTAATCCTTGGAACGTGGTCCACTAACTGGTCTCAGACTTGACGACGAAGCCCTGGGCGTAACACTTAAGCTCTTAGTTAATTCTATTTTCTATTTCTTGATTTTACTAAATTTAATATTTTATCAATATAATATTATACTATAAGAAATCACCTAAGTACACTCTGTGATGGGGGTTTACTGTATTAACATTATGTTTTCTGCCAAAGGCGGTCAACCTGCCACTTATCAGCCTTAGCACGTCATGGCAAAGAACGATAGTCAATCAACATAATCATCTTAATTATAAAGTTGTCAGCAAATATAGCTTCCTAGGACCTGTAGCACTACGAGATATACACAACAGCTGCTGCCAATAGTAGTCCATACCGTAGTGAGAAACTTCCCTAACCCTCTGTATTGGTAGGTAGTACTAGGTGCAAACGTAATAATCCCTGTTGGGAGCTGCCCCATGCAAGGCGCAAAAATAAAGGCAGAAAACAATGCTTAGACTCTCGAGAAGAAGTACAGATATGCGTATTTCTTCATCTCCTGTATATCCTCAGCCTTCACAACCTTCTCATCATTGAACATCACCCAAGATAGTTCACTCTGACCTGGTAGATTCTTCCGGACAAAGGCGACATAATGTCTATTAATGGTCAGTAAGCGGGGAAAAACTTCCCAAATCAAGACAGGCGCACATACCCAGCATGGACTGAAGAGCCCTTATGACAGACAATAGAGCGAAGCTCATACCTAGCTGGTGCATCACTATAACCGAGTGTTCCAGGGCAACCACCGGAACCGGTATTTGATTCATGACAATTGTCTTCAACATCTGCCGGTTCTTCTGGGTGGCTAAAGACCCAATCGATAGCTCTACTGATATCCCCGTCCGTGGCACCCAATGCTCGGTTGGCACGAGACTCGTCAATACCCATTTCGACCAATTGTGCTACCTTCGCTGGGTCATGCGATGCATTGGTTCCCCCTCCTGTGATCTCACTGCTAGTCAAGGGTTCATCAATATCGGGATCTTCCAGGTGAGCAAACAACCAGTTCATTGCAGCCTCGGGATCTGAGTTTCCAGTTGTATAAAGTGCCTTTTCACTCCTAGCCCTCGGGAACCCCATACTGAGAAGTTGATCCAAGGCATATTGATTAGGCAAAAAGTCCCTTTTGGAAGTGTCCATGTCCGGCAGGAGCTCTTCGCCCTCTTTTTGGCCAGAGGAAAGATATGGACTTAAATCCAAAGGCTCCTCGCTTACATCCACTGGGATGTCTAATTTGGTAGGTACCCAGTTGACCAACTCAAATCGCCGCGCATTGATGACAAGTTGCTGCGGCAGTGTTCTGAACGAAGAGCGCTTGGAAAATCCATCCTTGCTGCCACAAGAAGGGCAGATAAGATCAACTATCTCCTCAGATGTGGAGGCGTCCAGACAGTCAAAAAGGGTCACCGGTGCAAATTGACTGGTAGTAGTCGCGTCGTCTGAGAGTGCTAATCGTCGAGCAGGGACAGGGATGGAGACGTTGTCCTGCTCATCTACCTTATAGCGAACCTTCTTGCAACACACGCATTGAAGACGTTGTTCCATCGCGAACATAAAAGAATGAGTGGGGTTGCTTAAGCTGCCTGGATGCCTAGATAAGTTAATGAGCTTGAAGAGGTGCAGTAAGAATTCGAATGCATCCTGCTGTTTCATTGTCGAGAATTCCTCGTGGCCACGACCGACAAGATGCTTAAACATCGCAGGAACTAGGCCTTTCTGGTGAGGGACTTCTGGAGAGTCGGGTGCGACAATGATATCCATATCAGCTCGCGAGTAACGGCCCGAAAGGATACCATCCGCGAGTTTGCGCAGTTGCGTTTCAAGGTCCTCCGCGGGAGAGTCTGTGAGCGGCGGTTCTTCGTTCTTATGGTGGTATCTTTGTTGAAATTCTGGCAAGTCGAAAAGGCATTGAATGACGCTCGATAGATAGCAGCTATTCCCTAGATTGGCTAAACCAGTAAACCCTGGCCCGAATATGGGGCTAAGCTCATGACCATCCTCAGCTGTCATTGAGAATTCCCATTTTAGGTTGTGTTCAACCTGCATCTCCATCAAACTTTTCTCTGTTTTCTCACGCCTTGCTAGGTTAATCCCCCAATGGGCAAGGTGAACAGCTAGATCGGGGTCAGTCCTCTCTTCATTGCACTTGTAGCAGTAGATGTCAGCAGAGCCATCTGCCGTAATCGAGCCAAGTTTGACGGCGATTCCATGGGATGTTAGGTCAGCGTGTGCAAGGGCGTGGGAATTTCCACCTATGCCACCAAATTGACTACGCCCGCAGCCAAGATTGCCACATTCCAAGCAAAGCCAAAGGTTCTCTTTCAGATCACACATAGAACACTGACTCAAATCTGGACACTCAGGTAAGAATAGCGCCGAATAAGCTGGGTCTCTGGGCATTACCTTTCGACCCGATATGTCTGGAATCCTGCTGATTCAGACACAGGGTGTGTTCACATGGAATGAACTCCTGCTCCCAGGCCTTTACCTCCTCTCGTTTTGAGAATGACATCGCATTCAGGACGCCACCAATGGCTATCTCTAGTGCACCGCTCGTCTCATCAATATCGTCTTTACCGCATGAATAGCAAATAACGCGCGTGGTTGTGTCATAGCGGTCTTCATCTGTCTCGGCAGCTATCGCAAGTTTTGAGATTTTGTATGGGGGCTCATCACGCTAAACCTGGCAGTTAAAAGCTCTGTAATATAGAATGAGATAGACGAACGTTCCAGCTCACCTGAACCTTCTTTCGAGTTCGTCTGATGTTCAATGCCAAGGGGTGCCCAAGGCGTTTGAAATGAAGAGACGCATGATCTCTGTCCCCGGCGCAGCCGCCGTTAAAGCAAGTGAGGCAAACGTTTAGACCGGCTTCATCATCCTAAATATTGATTAGATACAGTACTCCGGAGCCAAAGTGATAGATAGCGTACAATGGAATCGAAACACTGTGTGCAGTCTTCTCGGTATACAGCTTGTGAGGGAGATGGGGGCTTTAGATCTGCCACATGAGAGATATTAATAAGACTATCACCATGAGCATTGTTGTTAGCAGTCAACCAACCGTGAGAATTTACATGCATGCAAGAAGTCATGTTGTAGGGATAATAATAGGGAAGAGAGTGCTGTCCCGATATAAGAGGAGTGGCTAGATTCAAGTGGCAAGACTCTGATAAGAAGTTGGACTTGATTGGAACTATCTTCGCGATTCGCAGTTAAGGGTCTGCTGTATTGGAATGGTTACTGAAGGCCATCCATGGTATGTTGTAGTGGAGCACAAGCTTACCATGAAAGTGGAAACTTCGGTGTAATACCGCGGGGCACCGCCTATACCAACAAAACACTAACTTATTGTTTTAATCCTTGCTAGTTAAGAGTGCAAGTTAGTTACTCAAAGAACATTTGATGACGAATATACTGACCTTTTTAAAGCTACGCTCAACCTCAATATTTATTGGTACTAGCAGATAGCAATATCGATAACAACAAAAATGGGAGAAAAAAAGAAAACGTAGTTTGCCACTAGGACATGGAATGTGTTATCAAGCTATTCCGGACTGGTGCATCGTTCATTCTAGTAAACTTCCTGTTGCCTCAGGCATGGGAGGGGAATAACACGAAAGTGGGGCAATAAATAAATCACTCAACGCGTCCTTAACCGCGTATCCTCGACGTGTCCAATCTACATGATCATTCATACCTTCCCATCACTGCACTTTGCACACCTAGGAGCTACTCAGATCAAAACGGATCTCGAAATTCTATCATTGCTTGTATGTGGACTTCTTTTTCTCTTTCCTAACAAAATATCATAAATTAACTATTGGCAAAATGCAAGACCTGAGTTCCTGATTACATAACTGCTGTCATGGCCTCCGACGCAGCATCGCAGATATCCGTTGGCGCTTTAAGGTACATCTATATTATGTGGTCGTTTGCTTTTTCTTATTGATTAACTCGCTTCAAGTGCAATCTTCGATGAGACGAAGCCTCAAATACGCGAGCCCATCGTCCAGTGTGTCCAGATCAAACCATTGCCGCCTCAGCAGAACAACCAAGAGCGCTACAGAGCCGTTTTTAGTGATATATCCAATTATGTCCAGACAATGCTGGCAACTCGTAAGTTCTGTTAATGGCTGAATGTCATTCCCCGCTGCAGCTGGATATGCTGCTAATGATTATATTGAGTAGCAGAAGCCAATCGATTTGTTACCAGTGGACAACTCCGGAAAGGGTGCTTCGTTAGGCTCAAATCTTTTCAGTCGAATTCGGTGAAGGGGAAAAAGTGAGGCCACGAGCTAACTTGTTGCACACGCTCTGACTGACATGGATAGGATCCTGATAATTTTGGATCTGGAGGTCTTGCAGGACTTAGGCGAGGCCGAGAAAATTGGAGAGCCCAAGCCACTTGAGAGTAAACCAGAAGAGAATGAGAAGTCCCAGCCTACTACGATATCGAGCAATGGATTCTATGGCTCCAAAATCCAAGGTGGACAACTACAAGCGCCTAACAAACCAGCACAGCCACGGCCCGCAGCGGCCTCATCACATGCCACCATTTACCCCATCGAAGCTATTTCGCCTTATTCTCACAAATGGACTATAAAGGCACGGTGCACGAGCAAATCAAATATTAGGACCTGGCATAACAGGAATGGAGATGGTAAGCTCTTCAGCGTCAACTTACTGGACGATAGCGGCGAGATCCGTGCGACTGGGTTTAATGATCAATGTGATGTGCTCTACGACATCTTCCAGGAGGGAAGCGTTTATTACATCTCTAGTCCATGCGGCGTTAAAATTGCCAAGAAACAGTTTACCAATTTGAACAATGACTATGAACTCACGTTTGAAAGAGACACGGTTGTTGAAAAGGTCAGTGCCATCACTTCGCCCAACGTTCCCTGGTCTCATTTCGCTTTAGGCAGAGGATCAAGCAGACGTTCCACAAATTAGATTCAGCTTTACAACCATCGGTGACCTGCAGTCGGTCGAGAAGGATACCACCATTGACGTGATTGGGGTTCTAAAAGAGGTTGCTGAAGTTTCTCAAATTATGTCGAAGACCACTAACAAGCCTTATAACAAACGTGAGCTTACAATAGTGGACAGCACGGGATTCTCTGTTCGCCTCACTGTCTGGGGATCAACTGCGTTAAATTTCAACGTGATCCCCGAGTCTGTAATAGCTTTCAAGGGTGTGAAAGTGTCTGACTTCGGAGGTAGAAGTTTAAGCTTGCTGAGTTCAGGTTCAATGACGGTTGATCCTGATATTGAGGAAGCCCATAAATTAAAGGGTTGGTATGATGCTCAAGGCCGGGATGAAGCCTTTACCTCGCATGCTTTAATGCCTGGTGTAGCCGCATCTACTACAAAACCTGAACAATACAAAACTATCGCGCAGGTCAAAGAGGAGCAACTGGGTATGTCAGATGAGGTCGCCTATTTCTCACTGAAGGCGACTGTCATCTACATCAAGCAAGATACCATGTGCTATCCTGCCTGTCTTTCTGAGCGTTGCAATAAAAAAGTAACAGAGCTTGATCCTGGCCAATGGCGGTGTGAACGTTGCGATATAACCCATCCACGACCAGAGTATCGCTATATAATGCTCATCAGCGTTAGCGATCATACTGGACAACTTTATCTCAGCTGCTTCGATGAAGTGGGCAGATCCATGATGGGTACTTCCGCAGACCAGCTCATGGAGATACGCCAGAACGATGAAAAAGCAGCTGGAGATATTTTTCAGGATGCGAATTGCCGAACTTGGAATTTCAGATGTCGGGCCAAGATTGACAATTTTGGTGATCAACAACGGTAAGGCCATAGGTTTCTTGGGACGCTTGAGAGAAACACTAATTCATGGAAAAACCATTAGAATTCGTTATCAGATAGTAACGGCGAAACCGGTTAACTATTCTGAGGAAGCACTGCGTCTTGCAAACATGATCGATTCATATAGTGTTTCGTGATACATGAATTGCTTGGTATAGTACTTTGTGACTGGTGGTAGTAACCCAGGTATATTTATCATTGATTACTCGCAACCAGACTGTGTCTGGGAAGTTCTATACCTTTTGCTTCCAGGAGGCGTGATCACAATCCCACGTGCTTCACTCCGGAGCTCGATACATAACAAATGCTGCTCTTTACGTTGCATAATGTCAACTTCTCTAGTATGTCGCATGTTGATTCACCTACAGCTTGTCGAGCTACGTGGCAACTATATCCTGTTTTATCTACATGAATTGGTGCGCCCGCAAGATTGTCTTTGCAGCCAGATAATTCGGGTGAGATAGTTTGGACCATACTGTAACTTCAAAATTCCACGGATAAATAATGCAGATATTGCACAATTTATAGAGGAGTAGAGCATTTGTTGACATACCGCTTCATCTATGTAATTGTATGTATATTGGCCGGTGGATTCACTGGTCAGACTCAGGTAGTCTACTTGTACATTAGAACTCAGAAAGTCATCTACCGGAACATGACGGAGTCTGCTGTGTCATATCTGTATGGATCTGGCCTGTAATCCGAAGATGCGCAGCTTCGACATGGTCGAATGGCGTGATCAAGTCCAGAGATACAATGACCTCATTGCAATAATATCACAAATATCTGGGATTTTGTTATTGGATTCTATTAGGTTAATACGTGAACTCGTTGCAAACTTCTTGATGGCCCTCTCCGTAAAAGTAAGATAACTAGTTAGTTACCCAAACAAACTTACTAATCATGAAGTTTAGATGACAGATTCAAGGGCACCAATAACTAACTAGTTAACTAGCTAACTAGCTGATAGGAAGGCTACTTTGTACCACACACAGCTGTTCATAAAAGAGGCGAGCTGAAAAGGACACGCCGCGAACAAGGGACCGAGCGCAAAACATGACAGACAGAATGATGAGAGCAATCGGTTGGTAGTTTCATATTTGCACTAGCACCTACCATGTTAACACTTTTCAAGATGTGGAAGGCGGGAGAGGGAGTGCCGATGCCTTATTTATTAATGAAATACCGGTTCCTGAACCCGGGGAGACCCAAGCATTAATAAAAATCAAGGCTTTCGGGCTGAACAGGATGGATATATTACAGCGTGAGGGTAAATACCCTGTGCCCCCCCAAGCGCCTAGTACGATGGGTGTTGAGTTCTCTGGGACGATCGAGAAGCTCGGCCGAAACCCTGAGATTGGCTTCAAGCTTGGAGATGAAGTGTTTGGCCTAGCTTACGGTGGTACGTTACAATATGCTGGGTAAGGACCTTTTACTGTTGGATCATTGGCTAAGTAGTCGCAGGCGCCTATGCGGAATACATTGCCGTCTCAACGCATATGTTAATACACAAGCCCGTGGAATTATCGTGGGAGGAGGCAGCTGGAATTCCTGAGGTAAAGTTATCCGGATTATGATAGCCATGACTGGTCACTGATGGGAGCTTGCTGGCCGTAGACTTGGATAACAGCCACCCAAGCCCTATACTTGATAGGTGGATTTAAGCCAGGAAATTCGGTTCTCTGGCATGCAGGCGCTTCATCTGTCTCCATAGCTGGTATTCAGCTCGCTAAAAATGATGGCGCATCTGCCGTGTTCGTGACTGTAGGTTCCCAGGAGAAGATCGACTTTTGTCTTGATAAGCTGGGTGTCACTGCCGGATACAACTATAAAACCCAGGATTGGGCATCTGAACTTTTAGAAGCGACGGATAATCGCGGTGTTGACCTAATCATCGATTTTGTAGGTGCAACGCACTTCCAGAGTAACTTAAATGTTGCAGCTCGGGATGCGCGTATAGTTCAGTTGGGACAAATGAGTGGTTCAATCCTCCCTGCAGGTGTTGACATCAGCAGCCTCCTGAGGAAGAGGGTTAGGTTGGAAGGTAGCACCCTCAGAAGCCGGGGCGAGGGATACCAGAAGAAATTGCGTGATTTGCTGGTCAAGCGTGCACTGCCAAAGTTCCGGGATGGTACTTTTACTGTCTTCATCGAGAAGGTTTTACCTTTCGAGCATGTTGCAGATGCCCATATATTGCTAGAGAGCAACTGTACCAAGGGCAAGGTGATTTGTACAGTTGACTGAAGGACTTGTGTCAACATCATTGCGGGCTTATGGTAAGCAAGTAGGGGTAACCTTTGTTCTACTATCATTGCATGGGATAGGTGGACCTATAAGGCTATTTAAAACATGTCTATGATGAATGAGGAGTTGACAAGCACACAGGCGAAAAACATACAATACATTAATCTACTTGCCTAGTACTTTAGCTAGATATATACCCTTACATACATAGTACATAAAATATTTTATTATGTTTCCTTGTCATGCTTGGCTTTTTCCTATGTTACCGCCCTCATGCACCAGAAAGCATGATAATCATAGAGTAGTTAAAAAGAGCTACTCTGAAAAACATATATTATTTACATAAGAACAGACTGCAAAACACTTGCTTTCCTTGCTTAGACATTTCCTCAGCCAAAGTTTGCCAAGTTGATATGTGGAGCAAAAGTTAAATAGCACATCCCGTGACCAACCACCAATGATACACAGCCTCTGACCACAAGATTTTTTACGTGGGGCCCTCTGGTATCCAATTGTATCAAGTTTTTTATTTTTATTCCGCTGAGAAATTGTCCCTCATTGGCCTTCCACACATAAAGTTCTGCCAACCAATAAACAGCTAACTTGAAGGACAGAAGGAAAGTGCAAAACAATATTTACAGCATCTACTGGAGTACTGTGTAGTACTACCTAGTAGGTTGTAGACCACTGGCCCACTTCGAAAATCTCGTGGTCAGGGACTGTACTCCGTACTACTAGTCCTCTGTAAGTTGTTATTCGCAATCACAGGATGTTATTGGTTAAAATCACGTGATACGGGATCTGACTTCTTGGTGCAATGCCTCGAGTGTTAATCAATCCAAAATTTCTACTTTTGGCGGTGACACACGGCAAAATCGCGGAAGATTGAAAAAAAAAAAAAAAAAAAAAAAAAAAAAAAGGGGGGGAAAAAAAAAAAAAAAAAAAAAAAAAAAAAAAGAAGTGAGATGTCGTAAAACCTGTCCCATTGATATATAAAGGCAAAGTCCTTTCAGGCACTCCAAACTCAATTTGTTCCAAAACCAATTACCTCGTTCGCCCTCTTCTTCCCCTCACCTACTCTTACCTCTATTTAAACTGGAAAGAGGATTACAATGACTAAACGTGATCTTCACAATGGAGGCGATGAGTATAGGCCGAAGAAAAAGCTGAAGAGCGAAAAGCAAAAGAAGGAAAAGTCTGCGAAGTCTAAATCAAGTGCTGAGCAGGGCCCCTCTTACGTCCAGTCTCCTGCACTGGGTGATGTCCCTCAATCCGAAATTGAGAAATTCCTGACGGAAAACTCTATTAAGATAACAGATACATCATCTGAGAACGTATTGCGCCCAATCATCTCATTTTCTCACCTCCCTCCTTGCAAAGATGACCTGTATGCGCCATTAAGATCATTCAAATCACCAACTTCCATTCAGTCTGCTACCTGGCCGTTGTTGTTCGCTGGTCGTGATGTTATTGGCATCGCAGAAACTGGGAGTGGAAAGACACTTGCATTTGGGTTGCCATGCCTAAAGAAGATACAGGACTCAGCAACGAGCAAACAAAAGCCTTATCGCCCTATGGCAGTAATAATATCTCCAACAAGGGAGCTAGCGATGCAAATATACGACCAACTGCTAAAGTTCTCAGGATCTGTCGGCGTCAGAGTGGCTTGTGTATTCGGCGGCGTGAAAAAAGATGAACAACGGGAGGCTCTGAAAACAGCAGAGGTTGTTGTTGCGACCCCTGGTAGGTTGAAGGATCTTCAAAATGACGGTTCGGTAGACCTAGGGAAAGTGAAGTACCTGGTTCTGGATGAGGCGGATCGTATGCTTGACAAGGGCTTTGAACAAGATATCAAAGACATCATTCGTCCAATGCCGGTATCTAAGCGCCAGACCGTCATGTTCACTGCAACTTGGCCTCCAAGTGTCAGGGACCTCGCGTCAACTTTTATGTCCTCTCCTGTGACTGTCACTATTGGAGGTGACCCATCTGCGGACCCACGAGCGAACACCAGGATCAAGCAAGTTGTGGAGGTTGTCAAGCCACATGAAAAAGAATCTCGACTTGTCCAATTACTAAATCGATCCCAGCGAGGGGTTCCCGAGCCGGAAAAAGTGCTAGCCTTCTGTTTGTATAAGAAGGAAGCCGTGCGGATTGAGAGACTACTTCGTACAAAAGGATTTAGAGTCGCAGGAATACATGGGGACCTGAGTCAACAGGAGAGGTTTCGAAGCCTAGACGCCTTCAAAACAGGAGCTGCAACTGTCCTCGTTGCCACTGACGTTGCAGCTCGTGGACTCGACATACCTTCGGTCAAGCAGGTCATTAATGTCACATTCCCTCTTACGGTTGAAGATTATGTACATCGAATTGGGCGGTAAGTAATACGCCTTGGAATCTGTGGGAGTGTCTGACATCTTTTTTTTTCGTCCAGGACTGGTCGTGCTGGAGCCGAGGGACATGCTGTGACCCTATTTACCGAGACAGATAAAGCTCAGTCTGGCGCGTAAGTGAGCCCTGTTCTCTAACCTTTTCATTGTGCCAGCAGAGTTATTTGAGTGAGGGCCGTTCATTAATGAGCCGCAGATTGATCAACGTCCTCAGAGCAGCAAAACAGGATATACCAGAAGACCTCCTTAAATTTGGAACAACTGTCAAGAAGAAGCAACATGATGCATATGGTGCTTTCTTCAAGAATGTCGACACCGACAAGACAGCCACAAAAATTGTGTTCGACGATTAGTTTTGCACATCAGTCCGTCTTCATTCTAGCACTCCTAGACTTGATCATTCGGCAAATATATGTGTATTTTGTTGTAAGGTACTTTCTTTCGAGGAATATTCTAGACTAGTTAGAGCTTAGTCATGGTGTATGATATAATTCAACTTACATCAGGAGGCTATAACCAGTACAAAGCATTAATGCCTTCACAGAACTACGATAGTCAGTACCGTCGTGTCCTTGTCTGGCCAGGATCACCGATGACAGAGCCGCAGCAATCCATGTTTGGGGTCGTAGACAGAATTCAGACAGGGCTAGGTTACTGCCATGCAGACAAAAGTAGGACCGGAGGAACATAAAACTCCAGGCCGTACGGACTGCCATGTTGAAAATGTTAGCCCAGACCAGTCCATGGGCACCCAAACCACCGATTTTCAAAAATAGGTAAGCTGCTAAAGCAAAGCTTGCTGAAAACAACCCCATCCAGTAGGCTTGTCTTCGGAGGTCAGAAGCACTAGCTGCAGACGAAACGAATGCCTCGGTTATACCGTTGAATGCCAAGAATGGTATGTAATAGCAATAGAGTGAGAGTAAACTACCAACTTCCGGAGAAGCCCACCTGTGTCCGCCCAAAAGAGATAGTATTCGTGGAACCAGATACGGCCCCAAAGGGAATATGAAAACAGCTAGCATTTCATATGCTCGTAAGATCTCGATTAGATGTGCCTTAGCTGCGCTGACATTGTTTGTATATTGTTTCCCAGAGTTGAGCAGAGATGAAAAGACAGCTCGGCTGTTTTCTTCGATAGGCTGGAATAGAACGCGCGCTGCCAGGCCGCCATAGTTTGATGCCAAAGAGTATATACCTTGGTCTTTTAAGCTCGTCATTGCTGCCAGCATCATTGCGTCGCCTTGAGTCAGGAGGTGTTTTACGATGGACTGGAAAAAGACATTTGTGGAAAGTGTAACTAGGTGCCTTGGGAACCTATCTGCCAGGTAGATTGAATTATCACTAGAAGGTGTTACCATGATCGAAACATTGCCCTTTCCACTTAACTGGTGACGTACCTCAATCTAATTTTGGTAAGGAGCAGCGAGAACTGCCATCGACTTGTTAACTTTGGTATGGTTAGATAATACCCACAAATAAGTGACAAAGAGTAACAAAGGTAACCCAGAGCGAATGGAAGGACGCCCAAGTCTTGGTCTTTCCAAGAAGACCATGAAAATAAACCACACACGGTTAGGCTCTTCATAAATGCTGCAGCTGTCTCCACTATTGCGCGCTTCTTGTACAATGTATACTGCTGCACCACAGCAAAGAAAGGCTCAACGCAAAGCTCCATAAGGGATGCAACTGTGGTGATCGCAACACCGACTAGATAGAAAGGTGTTTCAGAAACTTCTCTGGAAGCAAACTGTGTGTACAATGTCGCGAATATCAAAGCTGATGGGACTCCCATGCTGATACTCAGATAAGACATGTTTACTACTGATTGCGAAGATATTGTCTGTGGTTGAGCGTTTCGACTAAGTTTGCCATTTATCTGATCGTAGCTCCCATCGTGGATAGCACTAGCAGATGCCCCATGGAAAGGTTGTCGCTGAATCGCTGTTCTGATGCTTTCCCTGGAAAAGTATAGTATCGAGATGAAGTATAACTCCAGTTGAGTACCAATTCCAAGGATTGCTGGGGAAAGAGTTCGTAGGATCAATTGATTTGCGATGAACGTGAACAGCCTAGAGGCTATTTGAACAATGATCAAGAGCGTCACACCAGATGCCGAAGAGGCCAGAATCCTGTCAACATTTTCGCCCGGCCGGGACATGATGGCATGTAGCTCAACGTATTTTTAAGTTTTCTGAATTGAAGCTATGTTTACCTTAGGAGAAAGACTACCTACTGCAATACGCCAAGAGACCCCGGGCCGGAGCTAATTTTTCCTGCAGGTCCGCGCGGCTTGGATGAGATCAAAACCTTCAGATATTTCGTCTTCTAAGAAAGCATTGACAAAGATAGATTTGATAAAAGCAGCCGCTACATAGAATACTTCTACAAATTAAACAGCACCAGCTAACCTTATTCCAGCTAGCTATAATTATGCACATGTGCGTTCAGGGGTACATAGCCAGGATGTAACACTATTACACTTCGTTGCCATCGAGAAAGCCGAAACGTAGTTTTTCTTATAATTCAATTCCTAGCTCCAGAGGTCGTAATCAGGTATTGTTGGCTCAAGTAATCGCCGAGGCCACAATCTCTTTCTTTCAATGCAATCATTGGATAAACTATGGTGGAAGAGACGACTAGCGTTGCGACTGTGGCTTGAACTAGAACGGAGGCAGGAAGAAAGGGTACCCGCCATTTTTTGCCCTGAAGACACTCAGAAGAAAGCTGTACATACCAAATAATACAGTTCCCCAGATTAGCACAGCCACTTGCTGCGCTTTAGTATCCGCGATACGGGGAACTTTCATCGCGAGAGCTATTGTCGCAAAGGAAAGGATGGCATCTTGCACAATAATATATAAGCAGCAGGAACATAGAAATTTCATGTTTCGTTGGCTGTCGGGTGCCGACACTTACAGATGGCAGCAATAATTTGTGTCTCCATTCCAAACTGATTTGAGAATCCACCCGCAAAGTAGCTAATGCCACCTTTGCCGTCACCAACAACATATGGCACTTTGCGGATATGGTTGAACATGTGGCCGCTTGTGAATAATAGTATGGAAATCAAGCTGAATGCGGCCCATAAGTTTCGATTCTGTATAATTGGCAAAACATATGGTGACAGAACAGTGAACAAGGTTAAAACACCCATTAAGATTGTCACTGCAGAAATGAGTCGTATGTAGTTAATGGGGCGAACAAGGGGTGGCTTCGGTCCCTCTGGAAGATGACGATTGATCCACACGTAAAGTTGGTCAGCAGAGATTGGACTGAAGGTAATCATTTAGCACAGCAGTACCTCAACAAAAGAGTTTCAGTGAACACCTACCCACTGAAGTCGAATCTAACGGGAGCATCATCAACTTTAGCGAAGGGTCCAACAGTTGGAGGAAACAAAAGAAGAACTGGTGCAGTTTGGAGCATCAGCTGTCCCTCTAGTATTAGCCAACAATACTGTAAATGGTCAATCCGAACCCACCTTTTGGAAAGTTGCTTTGCCATTACTGAAGTCAAGGGTGGTAAAAAGCATTTTGAGGCCATCGGGTTTGGGACCCTTGTTCCAACTTCGCGAGATGAGCTCCCATTCCGGCTGGAACTCGCGACATAAGATGCACCCATAGCGAGCTTCACCAGCCGTTAAAAGTACCGCAACATGATAATCTCGGGGTTTCGATGTCAAGTCTTCATACGACGAGTCATCCAAATCAATGGGAATGGAGCGAGAGAGAGACTGATATCTTTCGAACTTGCTAGACTCCGGGCTCGCGCAAGCGCTAGATACAATATAGAAGAGTGCGATGATGAGAGTAAACAATTTCATGTTGACATGTCAAAAATATAACACTACAGCAGGAATGTGGTGTCTGCAAGGAACGATTGTCAACAAATCAATGGGTGATATACAATGGAACGATCCATGTACTTGGAGACAGTGGTCAGGTTGCATTAGTAGTATGGAGCGATCATAGCTTGTAGTAGGACGTATTAGGTGTCCAGTACTGCGGAATGACCGGCACTAGTTTTTCCTGGGTCGTCATCCATGCGAGCGGACGGAAAGGTACGGCCTAGCCTCTAGTGTTTAATTTCTCATTTATCAAAGATAAACTTGTACCGCACCCAGCAGTCTTTGTATCTTACATATCATCATTTGCGATTATAGTTATATTTCATTGTTATGGAATTTAGTAGCAAAGATCCAGGGAGCACGGTAGAAGATGTGTGTTTGTCATCTTGGTCCCGTGGCGTTTTACAAGCTTACCTTATCTTATAGTGTCGACTGGCAATAAGAACACAGAGCCTGGAAAAAGCATATGACAACACCCTGGTGCACACAGCACAGCTTCTAGATGCTGAGAAAAACCGGCTACTACGCGTGGAACAATTGCTCCTTCGATTTGAAAACGAGAATTTGCGGTGGCAGTTGAATCATGTCAATCAGGAATTGACCAAAACTGCAAGGAAGGAATCTGAAGTCCGTCTTCAGCTTCAAGCGACTTACAAGGAGCTTGATCAGCTACGAAGTGCGCACCATACGTCGTCTCATGAAATAGAGACACTTCGTGTATGTTATTCATGAGTATGTAATGTGACACGGCTCATACTGAAAATCTAACGTAGCTTGAGCTTGGCTCCCTGGCCAATTCTTCTGTCGATGTGAAAAAGCTCCTTGCAGAAAAACACCATCTCTCAAGGGTACTCTCAAGCGCAGGGGCGGACGTTGAAAGGCTAAAGTCCCAGAAGACTTCCCAACATACGCTCCTTGCCGAGAAGCGAAATCTCGAACAACAGGTGACAATCCTTGAGGTACAACTCGAGAATGAAAAAAAGGCCCATGAACAAGCAGTAGCCAGGGAGTCGCATAATGCAGAACAAGTCGCAGCGCTTAGTTTAAGCCTTGAAGGAGCGCGCAGTGAACTCATGGAGGAGGCACGGGCGCGTGATGGACGTGAGCGTGTCTTTCAACAACAAAATATGGAATGGGCTGCCCAACGAGCGGCCCTCGATGCCAAGCTTGATGCCTTGAATAAGAAGCTACATTCAACGAAGGACCAATATCAGGCTGCTGCTACGGAACTTAAACGACAGTATGACATCTCTAACAATCACGAATCTAAATTCTCCAGTGCGCAGTCCATTACACAACACAACTCTGGTCTAACAATCGCAACCCCTGGAGCTATTCGTGCCCAGGACAAGAGAAGTAAAACATCAACATTACCCGGCGAGAAGTCGTCCTTTTCGATCACTCCGTTTCTAAACCGAACAAATGGGCTTCGAAATTCAGCTACGAGCTCTGGGGATGATGCAGATGAGCTCCACACAACTCATATGACCAGTAAAACAAACCAAAAGGCCTCTGAGAATGATGTTCAAAAATGTGTTAATTCTGGGTATCAGGGTCAGAGGCCGTCGGTTGATGAGCTACCTGTGACCGTGGACACACTACGTCTGGGTCATGGCACTTCAAATGGCAGAAAAGGGGGGCAATTTCAGAGAAAATTGTTAGACAATTCGGATCCCGAGGGACGAATGGAAAACGCCAGCGGTATATTTACCCGCACTTCTAACCATGGGCAATTCAAATCAAGGAAACGTAAACTGGGGACCCAACGCGACTTGGGGTTGTTCGACGAAGACGACGACGAAGATACCCACGACATCAGACGGCCAGGTCGGAAGCTGGTCTCAGGAGGCACAGGGCGAAATTTTGCTTCCCAAGCATCTGCTCCAAGTGGCAGCCGCCTTGGACGCAGTCGCGGGTTGGGCGGACTAGGTGAATTTTCTCCTTTGAAGCGAGACAAGAAACGACTTTAGGGCAGCGTCACTGTCACATACTAGAGTGAATTTAATTGATTTCATTGTTTCACCTTCTTGGACCTCGTAGGCTTCTGTATTGGCAAGAATGGGGAGATGCGAGGTGAAGAAGAACCAAGATGCGTGATACAAGATTTCATGGTTTTTTGTTGCTTGTTAAGATACATTTAATTTCAAGTTATAAGCCGGCCGCCGACGCTTTCCGATTACCACTTCAAACATATTTTTAACTAAGCTTTGTATTTCTATGCACGAGATAACCAATTCATATTACAGCCAACCTTGGACTTCGACGATACACCCTTCCGGCAGCAATGTTACCCCTAAAAGTCCCTTCACGGTCGCAACGTGCCCTTGCTATTTCTCCTTTCATCCCAAAGCGACCTTCCTCCTCGAAGAGGTGGCAAGCACGTCAACTTAAAGATCATTTTACAAGAGAGGCAACAGTGCAAGGGCTGAAAAGTCGAGCTGCCTTTAAACTTATGCAGGTGTAGCATAGAACTCTCTTGCATGTGTATACTTTTACCCTAACACTTCCCACATGGATAGATAGATGCGAAATATCGCATTTTTTGTGACGGGCAGACTGTTGTCGATTTGGTATGGCAGTCACGGCTCGAGAAAACGGACGTAATTCTGTTTCTTGTTCACCTTATTAACAATACGATAATAGGGGTATGCGCCGGGTTCGTGGTCTCAGGTACGTCGGCTAGCCGTGAGTCTTGCTCTGTAGCTATCCTAACTTCCTGAAGGTGGCAGTCAGTCGCACTGGGCCAAATGGTCGCGTCCTTGGCGTTGATATCATTCCTGCTCAGCCACCAAAGGGTGTATCTACGATTCAAGGAAACTTTTTGGATCCTAGCATCCAGGCCTATGTCCAAGATTTATTGCATGATCCAACAAGGGACCAACGGCACCGCCCAGGCATAAACCCACATATTGGCCTGAGCCATGAGGCGTCTGAATTGCATGGGGATAGAAAAAACCCCGCCCACAACAACGAAGAGATGGAAGATCATTGCCTGACTGGTAAAAGAACCGTGGACGTGGTTCTAAGTGATATGTCTGTCCCCTGGTATCAAACCTCTGGATTCTGGAAGAGAAGTCTAAGTGATTCGTACAACAGGATGATGAATACTAGTGGCATGAGTTTCAGAGATCATGCGGGAAGCATGGTGAGCCTTTAATTCTGAGTTGCACCCGATCTGTCTGATACGCAGTTAACCTAAGGAAGGACCTCTGCCGAGCTGCGCTACAGTTTAGTTTCGAGGTCTTGAAGGCAGGTGGCCACTTTGTTTGCAAGTTCTACCAGGGAGCCGAAGACAAAGATTTGGAGAAGCAGCTCAAGCGGCTGTTCCAGAAAGTACATAGACTTAAACCAGAGTCTTCACGTAATGTATCAGACACTGGCGAATGATCCTAAACAGTCAAGTCTAGCGTCACTAACCTGGTTGCTAGGAATCTAAGGAAGCCTATTTCATTGGTCTTGCACGCAAACAACATGCAATGAGGCATGAAGTGCTCGCATCTCCTTGACAATAATGATTTCTGCGGAAGCCTACCGGCTCAAAGGACTCGCCTCGAAAGAGTGCGTAACATCATCTGTCAGTTCACATGGCCTCTAACTCATCACCAGTTTCAGAGACCTCATCCCAATCAATGTCTGCAGCTGTAGCTTCAGCGATTGTTTGAACCTTGCAGAGCCTCAGCATTTGTCTTAAAATAGAGGGCAAAGAGAACAAACAAGAAACGAGAATGGGGGACCAACCTCCTTAAGGCCGCTTAGGTCTTCCACGTATCCAGTCTCATTCAAAGCTTTGTGCACAAAATCCCAGCCTTTCTCCTTGTACGTGTCAACGATTTTTTCTGAGCAAGCACTACAGCACTTGTAGCTCCTGCCCACTACACATAGATTCTCAAATGTTGAAAGGAAACCTCTAATTTGATGTGGCACGAGTCCTAGGGGATGACTCCCTCGATCATCATCCCTTGAGACCGGAGCCGGAGCTGCAGCACCCAGAGGGTGTTGAAGGACGGAAATTAGCAGCTCAACCAATAAAGCCGAAGCAATTGCGGCCACGCCAGGTCTGGTCACTGTACACTGTTGATCCAGTGTCTGGTCTTTCATGGACTAGTAAATTTTAGTGGATTTTTTACAAGACTAAAATCACGGTTTATCACTTACGTTCACTGGTGCAACAATATCATTGCAAAAGTAGCATCCGAGCTCTGCTGCTTGGTCTTGTGCAACCTTCACACCATGACGCATAACGACGAAGGAGTCAAACCCTAATGCAGCATTCATCACAATTTTTCCCGCTGCCTTTCCCATGACAGTTGGTAACCAGCGGGATTCTCGTGTGTCCATTAGAAGAAAGATGACATCATGCTCATCTATCAATCGTTTAAGGAGTTCAAACTCCTCTCGGGTCTTTTCAGCATCTAATACGGGGTGACCGGCCATTGGCACTGATAGAGCATATCCGGTAGATTCGACCCCTGGGTAAATCTCCGACAAAGCTTGAGAAGCCCGGTGCGCCTTTTTAACTCCACCTTCCAAACAATCTTTAAAGTTAAATAGCGGCTGCCTTACTGGGTTGGAGAATGATACCGACCCATTGTCGACAAACGTTATCTTGGTAACGCCCCAGCCCTAGATACAGATGCAATTAGTCACCTGCACACATAGTAAATCATCACGCGGACCATACATACCATCAGATTCCGGGCAACATAGCTTCCAAGGGTGCCTGCACCAAGCAGGAGGCATTTTGTATGCTTGATCTTTTCAAGGTCTAGGTTGGGACTGATTCGCCATTTCATGAGTTTGAGGTTGAGATCTACAGACTGATCTGCCAACCTAGCCATTGTACGAAATCAGCTACACTTCGTTTCGCTTAGTCTCGTTTTAGGAAACTTTACCTCTGGGGATCCAGATATTCCGTCAGGTCTACCAATCTCCCTGTCAATTTCCCTGTTGGATTGCGCTCCCAACCGGTCACTTTGGGCATAAGATTGTCTGGCGCCTTCAGTACTGGCGTTTGCTGGTTCTTCTCTGCTAATGTTACCACGATGCTGCGGCCTTGGTCACGCTTCGAATGCACATCGCGAAACCTCAAAACTTGGATTTTACTCAATTTCCATCGATGTTTTACAAGCACCAGCAGATTCCTCAGCATCCAACCAGGCGCATTTTCGTAATTAGAAGGATCAACGAAGCAGACATAGCAATCTTCAAAGTTAGCCCCGTCAAAAAATCCATTTTCATAATCTGAAAGGGTAGCAATCCGCCAACAGACACCCTCAACGTCTGCTGCTTTCTCCTTTCCCAGTTCAGAACCTATATCTTTAGTGGGATCCTGATAGGCTTTGCCGCTAGTAGCTAGGGTTCTTCGAGCTAGAAAAAAACCACGCTGGCGTGCGTCAATGCCGTAGCTCCAGGTGTTTACTGCTTCCACGAGTGTTGAACTTTCAGCACCTGATAAGTATGTAGAAGGTACATATTCCCTTTCAGAAGACTTGGAGTGGGCAGTATCATTAGTTGCCCCTAGCGGGGCCCAGGAAGGATCCAAATGAATTGCAGGGAATGCGAACCAATAATGAAACTTGTATCTCTTCAGGTCTGCATAAGAAAGAATGGCAAAAGAAGACAAAAGTGAAGGACACGAATAGATCGTGCCATCTTTTATCGCATCCCATATCTATTAGACAGTGTCAATTTCCCAGCGAAACACCATGTCTGGTTAAACTGACCATTCTGCCAGATCGGTGGAGTAAAAGGGTTTTATCTGCAGCTCGGTATTCCTCGATGGTGTTGACATTCTTAATCAATCCTTCGGCCCTGTAGAAACCCGCTGGTACCCTGGGTCATGTTAACTGGTGCTTGCTGTGTCCCATCCAGTGCGCATAAACAGATGTGAAGGTGCAACACTTATTTAATGACAAAGCACTCACTCATCACTGGTTAGAGCATTTCCGTGTATTTGCATCCGACATGAGCTGCTAGGAGGGTCTGTTGAGCGAATTTCATAGAGGCCCATTATCTTGCGGGCGGAGTCATCAAGCTTGTCATGATTGATTTTCAAGGATGCTAATGCCGTGTAAAATGGGAGCTCTATATCTGAAGCAAAAGGCGTATACTGCATAGTGTTTGTTGCGCAAGTTGACCTTGCCGTTTGCCCTGCTCCTGTGTTCTAAGTAGTAGGCCGGAAAGGGCGAAAGACAGTGGCCATACAGTATCAGAAAAACAAGGCCCCGTGAAGACTAGAGAATATATTGAGAGAACCTCTGCAGTGCCTATGTGCTCATTTGACTACATGTCAAAGTAGCACAGGAAGTAAGCAAGGTAGTTATTGATAAGAGATGGTATCATGGTGGGGCGGGATAGAGATTACAGACTAACAAACAAGGACACGTGCACTGCAAAGGTATTTATGCAAATACACAAGTACACTGCTCCGTAGTAGGAGTACCATCCAGGTGACCTCGTCCCTGTCACGGGTATATACTGTATGTACCAAGCCCAGGCGTAGAGAACGCTGGGAACAAAACAATGGCAACCTGGAAACTGTTTTCTTCTAACTGGCCTAAAGAAAAGCGAAACACAACCAAAAAGAAGAGAAAAGAAGCATTTATCAGTAGAAAGCACTAACGTTTCCTGCAACAACAGTTACTAGGTGTTAAGGTCAACATATTTATTCAAGTACGTGACATCTACACATTCAGAAGGTCGTTTACCTATCGGGATACCTCCTCCCAATTTCAATTCCTCTCTGATCTTTGTGCTTTCTTTTGCTTACTGCGTTGTCCGTTGGGTATCAGTGAGATCGCTATTTTCGTCAAATTCTTCAGCCTAATTGTTTTATTAGCAACACTGTGATATAACTAACTATTTTGTATCTACTTAAATATACACAATGCCTCAACTTGCTTGGGTGTTTGGGAGGAACCAGAAAATAGATAGTTAATTTAGTGATGTACTAAATTAGAATATTTCCCAATTACTTGTTCTCTGCCCCAGCTCCACTTCAACCGCAGGTTGCTTTTACGTAGTCCGATACGTATATCTTTGCCTCTACCGCCATCTTGATTTTCCGACTTACTCCGTACACTAGTTACATCTGTACCTCGCGTGCTAATCATATATTGCCTTTACCCCCTTGATACTTCCGGGTTCAATAAAGGCGAGAAAAAAGAGGAGAGGGAAGAAGGGAAGATAATAAGAAGAAATGTTAATTGGCTTGTGTGGAGGTTAGCCAATGTTTTACTGACTCTCAAATGTTCCCCGCTGTCTCGCCATAGACTAATGGCATGCTTAAAGGTATATGCTCTGGTAAGCATGCAATTGCAGAGTATCTCATCCAGCATCAAGGGTTCCAGCTACTCGAACTTAAAAGTAGAAAGTTTCCTCGAATAGCTGATGAACCTGAGGATGATCGACGGCTACAGGCATCGGAGTTCACGGATAAAGAGAGAAGTCAGTCACCGCAGCTATTATTTGAAAGTGCAGAATCGCTTCTAGATTTTGCAACCAAAAGCTGGCAAGGCCTCTGGGTAACAACAGATATTTGGGAGAGTGTTACCCTAGATCGCTTTCTTCAACGCCCGTTTTTCCTCCTAGTGAGCGTCGACGCACCTGTCAGTCTCCGATGGCAGCGATTTGAAGAGAGGTCAGACCCTAACTACATCCCATGTTGCAAGTATATGATTCCAAGAGTGAAAGACTAACTTCTCCCAGGTGTCGGAGGAGGCAGCTTGAGGCCCCGCCTCTCGAGAAGTTTGTGCTCTGGAATGATCGACATCTATATGATAAAAATATCGGGCGTGTCTATTTGACCGACCGGGCACAGGTTCGATTGTTCAATTCATCGTCTTCATTGGAGGAACTGCATTCTGCTCTCGCGGGACTTAACCTAGCTGATGAGGAGCGCTTACGACCAAACTGGGATCAGTACTTCATGCAATTGGCATCTCTTGCCGCGCAGCGGAGTAACTGTATGAAGAGAAGGGTGGGTTGTGTGCTTGTTCGGGAACGCCGTGTCATCAGTACTGGATACAACGGAACTCCACGACATCTCAGAAACTGCAACGAGGCAGGCTGTATGGATCTAACCCCCGCGCCCCATCTCCTTCATTCCTAGTTCTTTGTTCTTTGTCCCTCTTCCTCCCCCTTCTTTGCCCACATTTTCCCTTTCCACCTATATTTGAATGTGTCAGTATATGCACTTACATTTCCACAGGCCCAAGATGCAACCGAGGTGAAGGTGGAGGTGTCGGTTTGTCCACGTGTCTTTGCCTACATGCAGAAGAGAACGCTCTGCTAGAGGCTGGAAGGGAGCGCATACGAGAAGGCACAATACTTTATTGTGACACGTGAGATACTCTTGGTTCATATAATTGGTATAGCGGGTTGAACTTTACTGATAGAACAGGAAAGGTGCCCTTGCTTGACATGCACGGTAAAAATTGCCCAGGTTGGCATTTCTGAGGTCGTATACTCACAGGGATATAATATGGACCAAGATGTCTGTGCCCTTCTCCTTTTATACCCAACTGGCCTTGGCTAACATTGCCTAGAGCGCTGCAATTCTAGAGTCCGCTGGTGTTCGCCTTCGACAGTTTTCTCCTGTAAGTCCCTCCTCTATCGGGTCATAATACATCGCTGACGGGAGAATAGCCTCGAAACGGACTTATCTATCTCGAGGGATCAGCTAACAATAAGCAATAATTGTTGTACAAAACAGTCTAGCTCTTGAAGGCACAACGGGCTTTGGAGAGTTTTGAACAAGTTTTCAGGGATGGCAAAGGCAATCAAATGTGCACAGTGTGTATATACATATACATTGTCAATTATGATCTATATATCTACCATGGGATTATGTGAAACGACGTTTCTATCAAGTGGTTTATAGTATTAGCAGGGTTTGTAACCAATACTATATATCTAGACAGTATTCGATTCGTGTTCGACGTAGCTAGCAATAGTTTTAGTATAGTGGCTAGTGTAGCCTTGGCTGGGCCCTTTGGGGGAAAAGACTACATATGTTGGAGGTTTATCTGTTCTCTGCAGTCATCATGGAGATAGCCGAGTCAATGAATGCCTTTCGTGTACCAGGAAACCGCACCATATCAGAGAAGACTCTGCCTACAACGTCCCAGCCTCCTACCGAGATATACGTATTTAGTGAAGATTTCTTCTTCTTTAATGCGGTGAACTTGGACTAGTGCTTCTTGTCATTGGTATTAGTAGTGGCGATTGTAAAATCGAACGGGTCAATTCCTGCGAATAAGTAATACAAATGCTGATACACGTTATTAGCACTGCTACTGCTGTATACAGATACTCACTGAGCCAGAGGCAACGCACAGTCCAGGGGTTAACATTGATATTCTCCGGCAGCACGACGTCGCATGGCCGGAAGAATATCTTGTGGTATCCAGCAGATAATGTTGGGAATAAATGCTTATCTGCTCTGCTAAAATTGTGTTTCAACCTTTTATTGTAGTGATATATTTAATCAAAAAGGCTACCATTATCGAATCTTGAAGAATTCCAGGTATAACCGAAATCTTACTAGTCAATACATATTTCGACTATAATACTAATGTATGTATAGATAGCCTAGCTCATAGTGCCGCCGGTTACTACAGCAGGCTCCTGTATTATATATATATATATATATATTTGTGGCAAGGTATGATGGCAAGGAGAAGGTGATATTGCCGTGATGCCCATGTTCGAATGAGTTCTTAAATGACAAATTTTCTATAACTGTACCGGTCAGATAAAGTCCCACTTGATATGGGATTTGTAGCTGAGGTAGATATTAACTATCTAGTGTCTGCCTATCTTGGAGGGATTATACGCCTAGATTCAGTGCAACCAGGCTACTAGTACCCAATAAGCAAAATGTTATATATGTACTCAGGTCTTAAACGGTAAGCGCAAATAACAGCCTTGGTACCCATTAAGGAAGTCAACGGTTTAACTTCTGGACCCAGGACCTACAATAGGTGTACAATATTATATAGTACACCACATGCAATCTCGGGGACTGTGGTATGAAATTAGGTCGGCGTGGTCAGAAATTGCTTTGCAATTTCTGCACCCACCAAGGCCTCCACCTCGCCACGGCCCGGTGGTGCATTTTCGCATAAAATAAACATAGTTATAGCCAGTACTTTTCTAACCATAATCAGTACCATGCCCTAGAGTGAAATCGATCGACGCTAAATAATATACTCAGTAAATAGTTGCCTAAGTAATTTACACTTAAGTGTTTTACTATAGAAAAGCTATACTACTTACTAGGTGGAATAGATAATAAGTGTCTACTATAACAATAGTTACTATTTATACCAGATTTAAAGGAGCGTGAAGATTAAGAAAAAGGCTATAGATTATAGCAAAAAGTCAAGACGACTTTATGTGCTAGACAGCCAAAACAACGGGGCTTATCATAGTTTAAAGAAAATAGTCTGATTCTAGTCATAGTTAAAGGATTTTACCCAGTTCAAGCCACACCAGCAGTACTGTGTAGATCCATTCTATTCTCCTAGTCACGCCGACCTTACGTTTCCTAGCCACCCTGCAATCTCAAGGTTTCCGACACTTTTGCCGCCAGCACTCCAACTACCGGGAACCCTACAGCTCGGCGTGGTCCGGAAATTGGAACGGAATTACTATCGGTATAGCTAGAACTAAGATTCTCTAACTAGTATGATTAGGGTCATACATATATTATTACCAGTTAATAAAGGACCTTTACTTCCACTCCTTTTACCCGTTACTACTTCGGGTATCCCGTTCATTTCATTCGCTCCTTAATCCCCTTTGGGGACATCGGGTTCGAGGGCGCTTTTTCTTATAAATACCAGGGGTAGTGGTGTAGATTTAGGGGTAATAATATATAGTAAGGTCACTGAGCTGCCAAACCACGGTGAGGTTGAGATAGTGGTTAGACGAAAATGCCAAGAAACCTCTTAATCACGCCGAGCTGCGACCCCGGGAGAAAATTAAAACTAAATTAGATTATGAGTCAGCTAGCTCTTGGTGGGGTATTGAAGACAGGATTCCATCCTTTCGAAGCTGGGATTGAACCCCCTCCCAGTAGGATCTTTTTCTCGCTTTAAAAAGATACTGGAAAGGCTATAGGGTGAAAAAGGAGCGTGGATTTCCTGTCGCGTCTCACAATTGGATCTTTATCCTTCACAAAGCGAGCCCCTCGAATAGTGGAACTGACTCAACCCCGCCGCCATGCCCACCGTACATCTGCTCGACTATGTTGCTGGGAATGTCCGTTCGTTGGTGAATGCAATTAACAAAGTTGGGTATGATGTTGAATGGATTAAAAACCCCGAAGATCTGAAGAATGCAGATGTGAGTATATATCCTTCGTCAGTCAACTTTCTACCTGCGGTGTGCTAATCATAGCGCAGAAACTTATATTGCCCGGAGTTGGCCATTTCGGCCATTGCCTCTCCCAGCTTTCAGAAGGCGGATATCTAGATCCGATAAAGAAGCACATAGATTCCGGGAAACCTTTTATGGGGATCTGTGTAGGTCTACAGGCACTATTTGAAGGATCCGAGGAAGACCCGGACGTCCCTGGGTTGGGGGTGATACAGAAGCGAATGCAAAAGTTCGATGACAGTGCAAAGAGTGTACCTCACATAGGTTGGAATTCTGCCATGAACACCGGGGATGGTCCTTTAGGAGCTCAAAGTTTCTGTGGATTGAACCCAGACAGCAAATACTACTATGTTCACTCTTATGCAGCATTTTACACACCCGGTGTGCTGGAGAAAGATGGTTGGTCGGTCGCTACAGCCACATATGGCGAGGAGGAATTTATAGGTGCGATAGCAAAGGGAAATATTTTCGCCACGCAGTTCCATCCAGAGAAGAGCGGGCAAGCTGGCTTGCGGACTATCCGTGCTTTCTTGAAGGGTGACCAGATGCAATCACCTGCGCCAGACACCTCAGTCTCGGGCGAGAAGACATATGGTCTCACTCGCAGAATTATTGCTTGTCTCGATGTCCGCACGAACGATTCTGGCGACCTCGTCGTCACGAAAGGCGATCAATATGATGTACGCGAGAAGGATGGCGTGAATTCTGGAGGCCAGGTAAGGAACTTGGGAAAGCCAGTCGACATGGCTAAAAAGTATTACGAGCAAGGGGCAGACGAAGTGACCTTCCTGAACATAACATCATTCAGAAACTGCCCAGTGGCAGACACACCTATGCTGGAAATATTGCGAAGGACATCCGAAACCGTTTTCGTACCTCTCACGATTGGGGGTGGTATCAAGGACACCGTTGATCCAGATGGCACCTGCATCTCGGCCCTTGACGTCGCCACCATGTATTTCAAATCTGGAGCGGATAAAGTTAGTATTGGCTCGGATGCTGTTATTGCAGCTGAGCAATATTACGAAGCCGGCGAAAACCTGTCTGGGAAAACTGCCATAGAGACAATATCAAGTGCATATGGAAACCAAGCTGTGGTTGTGAGCGTCGATCCTAAACGCGTATACGTCAACGGTCCTGAAGACACCAAGCATCATACCATCAGGACACAATATCCGAATGCCTCAGGGCAAAACTTTTGTTGGTACCAATGCACTATCAAAGGTGGCAGAGAGGCCCGGGACTTGGATGTTCGGCAGTTGGCAAAAGCTGTTGAGGCCATGGGTGCTGGGGAACTACTTTTGAATTGCATTGACAAAGATGGAAGCAACAGCGGTTTTGATCTAGAACTTATTAACGACGTCAAAACGGCCATCAAAATACCAGTGATTGCCTCCAGTGGGGCTGGAAATCCTGGGCACTTTGCGGAAGTTTTCGAGCGTACTACTACAGATGCGGCACTGGGCGCTGGCATGGTATGTTTTTTTTATGTATTGGTCATGTCTTTAGCAGTAGCTAACAAAGCCAACAGTTCCACCGTGGTGAATACACTGTCAGCGAGGTCAAAGACTATTTAAGTGGCCAAGGGTTTTTGGTTCGCAAACCTGAGACTGATATTTAACCCTTTTTGAGGTATGTAGATACTAGAGACATGTGAATGAAAGGGTGTAAACTAGCTATTTTAAATTCCACAAGACTGTCCTCGCTCAATTTAGGGCCTAGTTACTCTGTACTACTGAGTAGTAGACTAATAATACGGAGTATAAGGCGGTCAGGCTAGTTAGCCGTTAGATCACGTGATTTGATAATACTTTGGTTGCCACCACTTCCGAGTTGCGCTTTGATCCCACCCATCAAACTCATACCTAGCACGTCTTTCGTTTCTCCTACATCTTCTTTGAACAACACAGCTACCTCCTGCTGGTTCTTGGGGCATCTTTTCCCTCTATCTCCTCCTATCTACCCCTTCTTCCAATTTAACCCTTCAAATATACGTTATACTCGATCCAGTACTACTGAGTCGTAATTTCTGGATTAGTCAGGTATCTTGTCGTGCGACAATACTGCCTGTTGCCCAAAGTCTTTCGCTGCTCAGCTTGCCCCAAGCTTCATCTACTTCTGGTATTGTTCAAGTATCAACTGCTCACCCTTGTGCATGGATTTTGCATTTCGATAAGACATCCAAGCCCCTGTTTTGTGCTACAACTCTAGGCTTCATTGCAAGCTAGAGGAGACTGGGAAGTTCTAATTCATCTATTGAACGGTGAAACCTCCTATGAAAAAAGAAAAGAAAAACAATAGGACATAAGAAGCACCCCTGTGGCTCACCTTTGTTTACCACAGTACTGCAAACTGTTACGCTTTGTATTCGTTCGGACTTTGTCTTGTTTGTATGCAGTTTGAACACTTACCATCCAGCATTCAGCAAAGGTCTTTAAGTTCATGAGTTCGAGCAATATCATCAATAGATATTGGTCTTGCGATTTTCAGGGTCTTATAACAAAGAGGATTCTCGAATCAAAATCTGTCGTTGGCTATTTGCCACACGTTTCCCAAGTGTTGTCTTGCCTATTTTATTTTCCTGTTGTATCCTTTCTCGCAAGAGCGATACCCCTTTAATCTTCATTTAATTACATTCGCAAACACTCTCGTTGGACGTGCAATTGAATACAATGTCATCCTCTGTTCACTTCAAGTTCAAATCTCAAAAAGAACCTTCAAGGGTGACTTTTGATGGCACCGGTATCTCTGTCTTTGAATTGAAACGCGAAATTATCAATCAGAGTAGACTGGGTGACGGAACTGATTTCGAGCTGTCCATCTACAATGAAGACACCAGAGAAGGTAAGTTGAACGAACCGATTATTCTTGAGCCCCATCACACCTTTCCTTTGCGCGTTGGCAATCTGGAGAAGGAAAATGCTAGGAATAAGAAACGGGGGAAATGGAAGGTCATGACGGAGGAGGGGGCGGCTGAGGAGGAGGAGGGGGAGGAGAAGAGGAAGAGGAAGAAGGAGAAGGAGAAGAGGAGGAGGAGGAAAAGGAAGAAGAAGAAGAAGAAGAAGAAAAAGAAGAAGATCGAACAATAGAAGCACGAAGCCAGAGAGAAAAAAAAAAGAGTAGGAGAATGAGCAGCTAACAGATATTTGTGACCTAGAGTACGATGACGATACCACAATCATACCTCGTTCGACGTCTGTTATAGCTCGGAGGCTACCCGCATCGCGACCTGGAAAAGGCGGTGCTACTCGTTACGTATCCGGAAAAATGCCTATAAATGCGCGCAACGCTTCTCGTAATGACCAAGTTTCATCGAGCCGAACAATGCCCAACCCTACCAATACAGTTAGCAACGGTGTCCTAGAACTTAACAATGCTCAGACCGAAGAAGAGAAGATAAATGCGCTTTTTAACTTGCAGGCTAATCAATGGAAAGAGCAACAGCAAGAGATGGCTAAGTGAGCATACTTCGTTCAACCTCATGATTCCTTCATCTGATAATTATTCATAGTGCTACACCTGTTCCGCTTGGTCGCGGGAGAGGAAAACCAATAAATGTCCCCGACCACCCTCCACCTCCTGGGTATCTTTGCTATCGTTGCCGTGAAAAAGGTTGGTTTTGGCATGCATTTCTTAGTTGGTGTCGAATTTGATGGTTGCAAATTGGCTAAAGCTCATGATTAGGTCATTGGATCCAAGCATGCCCAACCAACAATGACCCCAAGTTCGATGGCAAGTACCGAGTGAAACGTTCAACTGGTATACCTCGTTCTTTGCAAACCAAAGTCGAAAAACCGGAATCGCTCACAATAGATGGTTCTAATGAAGATTTGAAGAATACAGGCGTTATGGTTAATGCTGATGGTGATTTTGTCATTGCTAAACCAGACAAGGCGGCTTGGGAACTGTATCAAGAAAAAGCTAAGGCTTCGGCCGCCGCCGCCGCCGAAGCTGCAGCTGCAGAATACAGCAAGGAGCTGCAAGCACGTGGGCTAGAGTGCCCAATTGACAAACGGATGTTTTTAGAACCCACAAAAACGCCGTGCTGCCAAAGAACTTACTGCAATGACTGTATTACAAATGCATTAATTGAGAGTGATTTCGTCTGCCCAGGGTGTGGAACAGAAGGTGTCCTGCTGGATAATTTGTCTGCAGACGACGACGCTGTCATCAAGATTAAGGCTTACGAAACTGAGAAGGTGGATTCCAAAAAAGAAAAAGAGAAGCATTCGGCAGCTCAGGAGAATCAATCAACCAACAAACCATATGCCTCAACGGGCGATTCAAGTAGAAAAGCAGAACTATCGTCACCGGCTTCACCCCGGGCAGGTTTGTCGAAATATTCCAAGAAAAGGCCTGCAGAGGATGGTCCTCTTGGCGAAGCCACCGAAGGATCAAACCAAACTTCCACGCAGAAGAAGCAGAAAGCTGAAGATAACCCTAAGTCGATCGAGACTTCGCCATCACAAGTTAATGATGCTTCATCTGGGTTTCAGCCTCTCCCTTTCGGCCAACAAATGCATTTTGGTGGATTCAATTTCATGCAGGCCCAGGGCATTCCTTCAATGGCATTCCCTGATGCTGGATTCGCTGGAGAAGGGACGGGGTTCATGAACTCGGCTGGCCTAGCTTCATCCAATGCTTTCACTGCCAATATCAGCCAAACTTGGAATCCTATGGGCGGTATGAATTTCAATGCACTGTCAAATGGTTTATATGGTGATAGCACAAATGGTGCAGTCAACTCTGGGTACGGCGCTACGAATATGTTCAATGGGATGGGTGACTCTCAAATGAACATGTTTCCCATAGCTCATATGGCTGGGGGTATGCAACAGAGTTTAGGTTTTCCCCAGGGACCAAGTATGGGTCATTTCTCAAACCAGCAGCGGACTACATTCAGCACTCCGTATGCCCGCGAAGAGGATACAGCGTACTTCCGCCAGCCAGTTAATCCACAACGACATCAAGCAAGATATAGGAGGATAAGGCCGAGTGATTATCGAGAGCTTTAAATGCTTTACAGAGATTCGCACTCTGTTCATGTTTTTTCCTTTGGGTCCATGTCAACTTGGGAGTTATGGGACATCTTCTATTGTGCATAGGAGTTACTCTTCTCTTTTCACATCGTGTATCTTTCTTGTTTGTATATCCTACACATGTGCTGTATACACTCACCATAGGCTTTGCCTTGGTTACGTAACACTTGAATTAGAATGGATTGGAGCGGTGTGTTGTCAAAGTTGTGGTGGTTGGCAGGTCAACTCTGGATTGAAGCTAAACATGAAAAGTAACCATGGAATGATAACTTAGCTAACTAACTATCATCCATTAGTCATTGACACGTGACACTTAACGAACAACCAAGTCAGATGACTGTCACCTGTGTAACAAATTAACAACCCAAAGAACCCCTTCCATTATCTCCAGCATCGGCCAACGGACTACAAATAACACATCCAGTAACCTATTGCATCTTAGTTATATTTGGACCAGAACTGCTTTACGTTTCCAATCGGCCCCTTTCTAGTTGGTCTCCGTCAAATCTGGCTGCCAGTCTAACCCAAGCAGACATCTCAGCCACTTTATAGACGAATTATATATAATAACCCTTTCTCTAGGGCGACTACCACAGCCATGGCTAAGTTCTCGAATAGCAACAGTAATACCTTCAATCAGTTACAGCGATTTCCCGACAAAGCTCTCCAGACTTCTGCACTTGCGAGCTGCTACAGTGTCAACACGTCAACATCGAGAGTTAATGGTTTCCATTACTACACTACGACTGGGGCTGGTAAGCGCATACATGGCTTGTATATTGTTAATTTGTACTGATGCCATAGTGCTACCTTTCACAGGAGCCCAGTGGTATCCCTGAGGTCCCCTCAGGGTCGAAAACCTTGTCTCCAAGCCCCCCGCCTGATCTCTCTACCCATACAGGAATGGAGAGCAGTTTTTCAGGTAACATTATACCCGAATACAAAGAGGGGGCGGCGCATACTATCCCGGAAGAGTGTGAGAGGCTCTTCTGCGACACATTGTCTGTGATTTTCCTTGGTGAGCGGATTATCTCTGGACAAGAGTCGCTTGGGGCAGGTGCGTATCAAATTCAACCGAGTAACTCAGGTTACGAGCATAGCCGAATTCAAGAGTGGATTGAGGTGTTGGACTATACAAGTGATTGTATCTACCGAGGATTCATGACCAGTTCGAATGACGAGCGCACCCTATTCATATTCTTCCGTGAACGTGCACTTGGCCAAGGTCTCAAGACTGGGTATGTTTATATTTCGGGGTTACGGGTAGATTACACTGAAATAGAACGGAGGCTCACGGCTCGTTTGACAGATTAATTGCTCTTTTTGAGCTAGCAAGTCTCCCTGAATTTGGGTGCTCTCAGATTGTTGCATGCATTCCGCGTTCGCAAGATGCAGCAGAGCTCGAAGTTGTGAGGAATTTGGGTTGGTGCGGATTTAACTTGACAACACTGCAACCGTGGAGCACTCGAGATTGTGTCGAATTGTCACTTAGTGCTGAATGGCTTTTTTTGGGTGCTGAAGTTTAGCAGTGCGACCCTTACTTTGCAGCAAGTTGAAATAGTACATTGTATGTTGTCAGATTGGTGCTTCCGCTCCTTGAGGGTTTAATGTTGATTGATGTGCTGGTTACTTTCACTACTAGATACTTTCAGTGGGGCACAATATAATGGATTCAATTGCTATTGGCGATCTCAATGAGAGTGTACTGTGTACTAGTAAGCGGACCTCGGAGTCGGAAGCCCGATGCTTCCTTGGGCGGTATGGTATGACCTCAGTATGACACTACTACTTACACTGACGTCTTTCTCGAAACGCAGCGAGTCTATATGGTTTAGCAGATCTCAGCTGCACTACTATTCTGTAAAATAAAGCTATAATATTGAACCCCAGCATTAGACTACTCTTTATGTTCCCCAAGTTCCTTCTTCCCCCAACTGTGTTCCGTTCTCGACAACGCAAAGCGGGGTACTCGTCCTCAGCTGGACCCTCTGCCAGAACCTCGTCCATGGATGAGAGCTGCCAGAAATACCTAGGTAGCCAGGTATCATATATTCGGTGTTCTCGTTGCGCAACGGATTTATGTTTGACGTCCCAGATCATCAGCAAAGGGTTCACTGGTCGACATGGCCGCGCGTATCTCGTGTCGGCGGAACCTATCGTGAGTGCGGTATCCATCAGTACAACGTCCTCGCCGACAGAGTCACTCCCAAATACCATAATGCAGAATCCCGTATCACGTCAACTGGTCACAGGCGCCCATACAGTCAGTGATATCAGTTGTGCTTTCTGTGGGAATATTCTTGGATGGAAATATGTTGCCGCTGAAGAAGAATCGCAACGTTACAAGGTTGGCAAGTTCATTTTGGAAACCAAACGGACCGTGACATCCTCCTCATGGGAGTCGGATTCATATGCCGGGCCTGTTGCACCATCTGGACCAATGACTTCTGCAAAAGTGGATGTCGGTACGCCGGGTGATTGTGTGGAGTTCGATAGCCAGGACGAAGACGAATGCGAAGATCTGTTTGCCGGTGTTTGGAGCCCTGGTCTGGCTATACGGCGGCGAAGCCGCAAATTAGATCGTCATACCTCGATTTTTGGCCTTACACCCTGAAGGACTATTATACATTATCTCTCTCTTTTTCTGTTTCAGCAATCGTGGCATCCTGATACCCTGCTCTCATGTTTTCTTTTCTGACCAATATCTGCGGAGTAACCCTGCAAAAGGCTTCTTAATGGTAATGTTTAAGCTACAACAATTCCAAGTGCATTCCCGAGGTTTCCATAAGTTTGAAAAGTTGTTGGGGTGGGTAATCTCTTCTTTGGTTCCAAGTAGTCCCGTAGTCGTTGTAACATTTTGTGGTATAGAGCCAATTCGTTATTTCTTGACGCTGACAGAAGCGAATAAGAGACGGTTAGCAAGGCAATGATCAATATGAAGGCTAAGGGGAACCGTTTGTTTTGCCGACTCGTGTTCTTTTCACATCTCCTTCCTGGTCACTTTCCTGAGCTGAGCGCTTCTGTGTAGATACCAGTTGGTTACCACCTGATCTCCGTTTGACAAGCGCCGAGAGATCATTAGCTCCCTTCGTAACTTTGTCCAACTGTACCATCTGCTCCGAAGGAGACTGCCCCATTATCTGACCCAGGATACCTTTCAGCATAGCTTCATTCCTCTCATCATGATCTTCGAGTAATACCGGGGGGCGCTTTAAATCAACAAGCTGTGGGCCAGTTAGATGTACGTGGTTCGAGGATAAGAATCCGAGGTTCGGATGGTTGAGAGAAACTTACTCTTTGCTCCATGTCTGCTATGATATCCTTCACATTGGCTATTTTTCTCTTCATAGCGGTTGCTTTGTCTTCCTCCATGGTACTACTATTATCTAATACCTTCTGCTCCTGAGCCAATCTCACCTGACAACTTTCAATTGCTTTTTCCATTTGGCTCGCCGCTTCTTTTCTCATCTGTTCATTGGCCGTCCTATCGCTCTTGCTATTAGCGGAATTGTCATCTGCCTTATTGACAGACGCGAATTCCAGGGCAAGCGAAAGCTTATAGTGACATTCGGCGATCGATGGATCCTCCATTGGAAACAAAGACTGTCTCAAATCAAGTGCCGTTCTGAGATCAGTCACTGCATCCGTGAAACGTTCAGCTTCTAGCGAGATCTCGGCCTGGAGATCGTACGTATCTGCGAGACGCTCCTTAATTTGTTTAATATGATGAGGTAGATCTGCGGCTTTGCCTTTCCCACATTTTTCTTCTGCTGCGTTTAATCTCTTGAGGTAGAGTATGCGCGCGAGGTCGAGGACTTCAAAAGCATTTGCGAAGTCATCTTCGTCTTCTTCGGCACCTCCGTCACCATCGCTTTTATCTTCCCCGTCGGAATCGGAGGCGTCAAAGTTCTCATCTCCTGTGAATTGAAAATATGGCTTGTCCTCGACCTTCTGAGACTGCGCCTTTCCAGCAAGCACCTCCTTCTGAGCTAGTCCATTGGAAATGGCATCCTGAACAAGGCTATCACTAACAGATGTAGTCCCAGACGAAGAAGCATTCACAGTAAGCGGATCATGTACCTGTGTCTGACTTTCTCCAGCTACTTTGGAACCAAGGACATCACTCTTGCTCACAGCAACATTGTAAAGAGATTTTCCATAGTAATATAGTAGATCGGCATTGTCAAGCGACAACTCCCCATTCAACCTAGCTTGGAGCTCTGTAGCCTCAGAATAAAGCTCAGCAGCAGCGTTGAAATCTTTGACGGCATCCTTGGCGGCAGCTCGCTCAGTCAGGTCTGTTAAGCGCGCCCTCATACTTTCGTTGGTATCTTGGAGCGGTGCAGCGCTCATTTCCGCACGGTCATACTCCGCCATTGCCGCGGTCTATTGTCCCAAGTATCTCGTTCCAAAAAAATGTCGGTGTGATATAGTTTGGGGCGTTAAAGATAGTAAAAGGATCGAACTGAGTAGTCCCCTGGGAAACAAAAATTAAGATACACTATAGAAAAGAACAATGGGAAGCAGGTGGTGCAAGCGCGAAAGAATAAAAGAAGGAAATAGTTGTTCTCTATCTATTGACGTTCAATGACGGACTTATTTCCAAACTGGCGCGGGTCGCGTCAGTGGCCGCGCCACTCTATTTAATTTATCACGCGTCCGCCCACGCAGTCTACAGAGTAGATTTCCATCGCTTTTGGGGTTTGCTTAGTATCACTGGCAGCCGATACTGAGATCACAGCGAGATCAGTAGATAACGCACGTTGAGTCAATTCTCATGGAGCCTGTTGCCTAGTCAAAAATTGATTGAAGGATGCCCACGGCATAAAAACCGATATCCACGACTATTGAGGTACATGTGAATGCGTATGTAATGATGGACTCAGATCCGGTCCCTTCATCATCTCCTGCATTTGCGACCCCCGCGCACCCTTTGCGAAAAAACAAATCCAATAATCTTCCTACGAGGACGTCTATCCTGCCTATTTTACTTCCCCCCTCCACCCTTCGGCCCGTCGCTTTCCGTACATTCACCCGGAAACATAACTTGACGATTTCATCATCTGCACTACAGACTTTAGCTACCTTTGTGGGCAAAAATTGTGGGTCAGGATGGCGCGAGGAAGGCCTTGCAGAGCGAGTGTTGGATGAAGTGGCTAAAAGCTGGAAAAAGGCTGGAGGAGGTGTTATTGTCGAAGAAGGCAAAGGTGCCTCGCTACAAACGATTTTGCAAACTGTTGAAGGGAATATGAGCGGGGGTAGATTTGTTGTTGGAAAGACCCCGACAACAGATGGCGTGTCCATGAGTACCTCTCGAAATATGGGGGGTACGCACCCCAATCTACGTTTGTCCCCCTCTGCAGCGTCGACTCTAGGAGATGGAGAACAGGGAGACTCGAACCTTTCCTTTCACCCAAGAAATTGGATCAAGGTAGTGGATGCATTTGATATTCCGCGTCTGACATACAACGCCGACAAGAAGTATTTCGAGGTTGCAAAGTCGAAGGCTTCTCTCTTTCCACAGCCCTCTCATAAAACTGCCTTGTTCCGGGATCGTTATAATGTGATTCACCAACGCCTACTACGAAATGAATCGTTTCAACTGTCATTAGGCTCTTCCAGCGTACCCTCATTGTCGCGATCATCATCGTCTTTTGCTCCTAATAAATGCTACAAGCTTACTCCTGTCGCAAACCTGCTAGGCAGGAGTGGTACTTCGCATTTGTTACTCGGCATGCTTTCTGTTTCCCCAACGGGTGATCTGTCCCTTACCGACTTGACTGGGAGTATCGCTTTGGAACTGAGTCATGCACGGATTATACCAGAGAATGGTGCCTGGTTTGCGCCTGGTATGATTGTGCTCGTCGATGGGATCTACGAAGAGGAAGAAACCGTGAAGGGGTCGACCTTGGGTGGGAACACCGGGGTTGGGGGTGCTATTGGGGGTATATTCGTCGGAGTCTCTATTTGTGGACCTCCCTGCGAAAGACGGGAAATGTCACTGGGAACCAAAAGTCGACAGGCCACAGGGGAAGTGAGCACTAGTGGGGGGTTTGGCTGGGTAGACTTTCTAGGAGTCGGAAGCGAACGCGCGCGGGGATCTCGTATGAGACATATTCAAGCGAGATGCTTACAGGACTTGCACGGAGGTGCAGATGACTCCCGTTGCTCCAAAATGGTAATTATGAGCGAGGTTAACCTTGATCATGTGAAGACGGTGGACGCACTGAAGCGGCTCTTCGGCTTCTACAGTGACTTGCCGCTGAGAGAACGGCCAATTGTTTTCGTTCTAATCGGGAACTTTGTCCAGAAGGCTATGGTCAACGGTAGCGGTCAGGCAGGTGGTATTGAGTACAAAGAATACTTTGACTCGCTCGCTATGGTGCTATCTGAATTCCCTTCTCTGCTACAGCATTCTACGTTTACTTTTGTGCCAGGTGACAACGACCCCTGGCCATCCGCCTTTTCAGCTGGTGCTGCTTCTGCTATCCCTCGTCAGGCTGTTCCTGAACTGTTCACTTCACGGGTGAAACGTGCATTCGCTATGGCGAATGCTGAGTCGGACCGATCTCAGTCATCCGAGCCTATTGGTGAAGCTATTTGGACTACGAATCCCTCACGCATCACCTTGTTCGGACCGCTCCATGACATCGCTATAGTCCGCGATGACATTTCAGGGCGGCTGAGACGCAGCGCAGTGAGCATTGGACAAGATGCTGATAGGTCTACAGTAATGGATGAAGAGATAGAAAACCAAAGGAGCTCCGTAGCACCTGAAGGCTCCGTCGAGACCCAAACGCCACGAATAGGAGCTGAATCCTATCCGGTTCCTTCTGCAGTCAATGTGTCACGAAAGCTTGTCAAGACTATCTTGGATCAGGGCACCATGTCGCCTTTCCCACTTTCGTTGCGACCCGTCTTATGGGACTATGCCTCTTCCTTGCAGCTGTATCCATTACCATCAAGCTTTGTTCTAGCCGATCCTGAAGCGGCGCCGTTCTGTATGACTTATGAAGGATGTCATGTAATGAATCCCGGGAAGCTTATTCCAGAAGGTGATTTGTTTTCCGTGAGGTGGATTGAATACGATGCTTCCAAGAACCGAGGAAAGGTGAAAGAGATGCACTAATAGCCATTGATTATCAGGGTGGGGGTTTAAACCACGTCCATAACTACATGCCACAGTTTTTCATTTCTCGTGACAGAGCAAACCCGGGACTATGTAATACATGGTAATTAGAACTATTTAGCGATTCAATTTTGATTCAGTGCTGCGGCTGAATATAATCCTTGCATGGCTTTGTGAGCCATAACATAGGTTGACAAGATCTATCTTCTCTAGGGACGGAAATATGTTGGCGCCGTATGTCAAAAACCTTGAACTCGATGTATTCAAGAGATGCTAACGAGGTTTCCGATAAACCAATAAAAAGTTAGTCACTGGCAGTAAAAATGCCCTTAACACGGCAAAGAATGGATAATATACAGGAAGTCTGTCAGCCAAGGTCCGATGCGAAGAATAACTGATAATGAAGCTGAAAGTAGAAAAGAAAACACAGCCCCCCGTAACTAACGCCTTGATTCTGTGAACTCTGCCGTAAGAGCTAACAATGCATTAATTTCGTTGATCAAGCTCGTGACGGAAATCACCTGCCAAGATATGGAGCCAGCAAAAATGACTCGTACAACATGATCTCAAAGAAAAGAGCCGCCGGGTGAAGGGAAATTATGTGGACCAAATCACTGTACACATAGCTACAATCGCGACGGACGTGACACATCTAGATACCTTATCTGTACCTAGGAAGAAACAGAAAACCGTAAGAGGAGGGGTGGGCGGCGAGAATCCAACTAGATCTAGTGGCTCATGACGAGGCAACCCAATATGTCCAGAGGCTGAGGAAGCTTTGCGACTCTAATCAATCATAATAATATCCGCATTTTGTGTGGTGTCACCAGCCTTGTGCCGAATTGTAACATTTGGCGCAGGAATCAATTTTGCTGATTCGCTGAGTATGCCTTCAAGGTTTCCATTTTCTGCCGTCGACTGTTGAACAAAACTCTTCGAGCCGTTGGCTTTCGCTTCAGGTGTCGAGTCTGTCAAACCTACACTGCCGCTAGCCTCAAAACATTTGTCGAGCTCTGTCAGAAGATTCCCGACTTTGTCAGTCTCGGCGACAACTCCATTACCCAAACCTCTCCAGCCATCACCCTTGGAGTTATATAACATTTCTCGAAGCTTCGACTTGAGTTGATCCTGGCTTGATCCTTCCTTAGGACTGCTCAGCTCTTTCAGAATCCAGACCATGTGACTAAGGTGATGAGTGGCAACTAATTGGAAGCGGAAGCTCTGAGCAGGATAGTGAATCTGAAATGTCTTCGCATTACGAACAGTCACCTGCACCTTCAGTGGCTGCTTGTTAGACGGGTTCATCAAGATCCGGTCTAGGGCTCGCATTAATGGAAGTGTAAGCAAGAGAAGTTCAGCAACAGTGTCTAGACCCGCGTCGGTGGTGCTGTGATTCAACGTGGATTCAATAGATTTCTGTATGCGACGATGTGGGTTTGGAAATTCAAGAGATAGGCCTAAGCGCAAACGAAACAATGACTTGGCTCGAGATGCTAGGAGAATAGGATCATACTCTATAGAACTCGGCGGCATGGTTGTTTCAATATTCAGGGTGGCGAGGAGGTCTTTCTCGGGGCCGTAGGCAAAGGTGACATGTGACAGCGACAGAGATCGAGGCTCCATTTTCTTTCGCTGAAGGCTCTCAAAAATTGACAAGACACAATCAAGTCTTTGCAAATTTTCCATGAGTTTGGGAATGACAGGACGGCCAGGCGGAGCCAGCAGGCGGATAGCGAAGCCAGTACCTCTCTTTTGGAAAACCAGCGAATGGTCCCATGTTGAATTCAAAGCGCTGAAAGTTTTGGCTGGTATCAATAAATTCCCATAAGCGACTATAATGGCAGCCTTCTTGCAAGGATCTATCCCATGAAACGCGAGGCGGATCGTGTCTTTGGTGCGAACCCTCCTCTTTAGCCCACTAGGTAAGGCTATCCGGAATGCTTCGGGAATATTCGCCACTTCATAACGCATAAAGATTTCAGGAATATGAAGGTCCGGTTCAATCACCAGTCGTTGTAGAGGGGGGTAAAAGTCAACGGATTGTAGGTCCACTAAATAGCGCGCATTGGTATGAACTGCTAGAATCCCAGAAAGATAATGCCCCAAATCTGCAAACGAGGGGTAGCTGATATTCTGGCTCACAGGGAAGAATGTACCGCTTATGACCTGGGCTGAACGAAGAGTAGCAGAAATATGTGTGTTTGCATCAAAGACTGAATGACTTTCTGCTGTCGTTGTTGTCTGAAGTTGCACCACCCACCAGTTGTCACCGTCCATGCTGCTTGTTGCTGCTACAATCCAGTTGCGTTCCCAGAGATGATGCCAGAAAAAGGAAAACCGCAGGACATTGTTCGGAAACATTCTTCGAAAATCTATCTTTAAACTTCTGGGATTCACTGTTTCGAAGCCCAGCATTCTAACGTTCGATTCAATCTCATCTATCGCAGCCATACAGCGAAGTCGTGCAACTCGGGCCACTATATCCTCGGCGGAAGACTTGTCAAAGCTGCGATCATTGTCAAGTCGGTCCTGAGCGCTGGGGGTAGCCGATATAATGCTTGCTCCCGACATCGGCTCAATGGAAACACTAAGATGCCTGGACTCTGTAAGTTGGATAGCCAATCCACAGTCTCCAGGCTCAGTCCTAGTCAGTTGAGCCTGTAGAGATAATCTGCCGGCAGAGTAAAGTGGACTTTCGCTTATGATGCGATATGCCGAGGAGAGTATGTGAGAAATATGCAGCGCGATGACACTTCGCAGAATACATTCCATCGAGAGGCTCTCTGTGTTGAACTCGATCTCTTCGCTGTCAACCTCTTGGCCGTCTCTTATCCAGCGCAAGTCCAAATAAGGATACCTATAGCCATCATTCTCACCGTATATTCGACCGCTCTTGATCCCAATCTCTAGCCAACTTTTAGCTCCAACTTTTTGCGTCCAGTAATGTACAACGAGAGTTCGGTGCAAAAGCTCAACACGCAAGACATCGTACCAGAGGCCTCGGGCCAATTCCATAGCCTGCTTAAAGAGTATGTTGATCTTGTTGGTGAGAACGAGACTGTGCAATAAATCGAAGCATCCAGCAAGGCCATCATTTCGGAGGGCTTCATTTATCTTGACATCAAATTCGTTGAGTATTCGACCCTTGGGGATCGGTGACGATGGATTGAAGAGAAACCGTACGTCAACGAAATATAACTGAGAAGATTCGTCTTCTTGTCCAATTGAAAGATCGAGTTCAAATTCGTTCGGCACAACAAATGTGACCCGGCCATCACGGATGCTATACGTTTGAAAGGCGCGAGGGACTGAATCGTGCAACGCCAATCTCACACTTATGATCCTGTTGATTTTCTGCAATCTCTTGAGCGTATGTTTGCCAGTCAAGGATCTAGGCGGTTTATACCCAAGCTAAATATAAACAAGTTAACATTGATTATCAAAAATATTATAGGAAAGATGGAGCGCACATCTGACATGGAAGATACTTTACCCTTGGACAAGACCTCGAGAGCCGTTCTTAAATCCGGGTTAGCTACTTGGGCTTGTACCAAATCTCGCTTCATATCACCGATCCATTGCAAAGCACCCATATAAGCCTGATGACGAGTACGGATAAAGTTTTGAAGGTCAATTAGCTTGCTAACATCAGCTGCTTGTCGGCCCCATTGGGACAAGACAAGGAGTTTGATGAACTCTGCACGCTTAGCATGTGCAAAGTCAAGGATCCGTGCTTTTTTCCGTAGATTTCCTGGGCTCTGATTTCCATATGACTTGCCACTAGCGGGCAATTGCAAAGAACTTGAATCTTGAGGTGAAACTTGGATGTCTGCCATCTCCGTGATCAAGTCGGAAAGATCATTCCAGGATTGTTGCACAGATCTATTGATTAATTTTGAGAATGAGAAAAAGCCTTGCGTTATGTGTGGCAGCTCTGGTAACTCCGTAGATTTAGTCGGTATAATTTTGACCGCAGACGCGTCTTCGGCTTGACTAAGATCAGCCGCATTCTTCGTCATACCATTGATATGAACTCGTTCCGCATGTGAGTCGCCCAAGGTGGAATTTCGACTGATATCTGGTGTCAAAGATCGCATATTGTTTCTTGGATCGTGAGCAGCTGGCCCCTGCCCGGCCCCACCAATATCTGTATTGTCCATGACTACCCCCGGCATGTCTGGACGCGGAGTGGTGACTTTATCCTTTCGAGCTCTCCCCTCCTTCACCCTCTGCGCAATAGAGGCGACGGCCTGATGGCGGTGCTTTTTCGGGTTCGAAATAGCGAGTGGGGCAGGAAGGGAAGCGGACGATGCACTCTGCGTCTGGATCTGGGGCTCAGCGCAATGCCATGTATGTCCATTCAAAGCATGGAATATCTCAACTGGACGGTCGTAGTGGCATTCAAAGGTGTTTGCGGTGATTTTCCGAGGTCAGCTCTGTCGCGTATATTCAATTGAGCGACAAAGTAAGTCGTAGGGCGCAAGGAAAAGAGAAGAAGAAAAGACAAAAGGCCTTCTCTAGAGATTTAACTTGCTTCCAGCTGGGACAATGACTTTGCAGATAGGCCAGTCAAATGCGAGCTCGTGACTATTAAGAAACTGTGACTGTTTGTATTACTGGTAGCAGTTAAGATGAGAGGTATTATTGCGCATCTAGGGTCAGGGCCCTCAGTGAGATATTAAACCTGGAAAGCACAAAAGCGGGGAGCTGGAGTGAGGCCAGAACCAAAGTGTACAATACAATCAAAATTTGAGAGACATGCAGATTCCCAACAAGCACTATTGAGAGAGTGATATAATTCTAAAGGTGGAACTGATCATATCAGTGCAGAAAACTTGTGAGATTGTGGAGAAGTGAATTGGTTGAAGATGGAATCCGGCGCGATGCAATGCGAACACGGGAGCAGTGGCTGATTAGTTGGTGCCTTTATGCCTTATGGATCATAGATACTTACAGTGGCAGGAGTATTGGCCAAATAACCATTTTACACCAAGATCAGGCTCTTTAGTTGCAGTTATTAGATATATTTACGTAGAAAATGTCTTTATTAGGTATTAGGATAGTAAATAATATCCATATATTTATCTTTGTCTTAATTCATTGGAAAAATCTAATTACTGTACACAGTGTACGGTCTAGGAATTAACAGAAATTAGTGGTACATTTTTTTCCTAATATAAAATATACGGACTATATATTTACAAGTACCCTCATTTTAATGTAAATTCAGTACTTTATAGTCTGTTAAATATAGAGAATAATTATTGTCTTCATATATGAAAGGCCATAGGCCTAACAATTATTCAGAAAGACCATATTATAGACCCAGTACTTTGTAGTCACCATGTATTTAAAGAATAAGTATCCATGTATACTGTATTAAGTTTGGTTGGTCTAAAATATGTGTGGCAAACCGTACAGTGGTTGGCTTGACTCTGTGAGGTATGTACATACATACTAGTACTTCATAGAGCTATTATATGTACTACTGTGTTGAGCTCCTAGTCACCTATTGCTAGTATGGAGGAGTAGTATTGTAATAGCTATAAGCTATCAACAGTATGGAGGACTGAAATGTTTCCGTGAAATACATGAATGTACGGAAGCTGGCAGGCATATCAGTTGCTTCCATAAGGATGGGTAAGGTATTGTAATATATACAGATGCGGATAGCTTGCCCCTTCAAGGTCAGAAGTTACCTATCAACACCCAACTTCGTGAATACTACCTATCACTGCTGGACAGGGCTTTTTTTTGCCATCCCTGGATATATAAGCAACAGTCTTTTTTTAAGTTGAGGCTATGAAGCCTAAGGCTTTTTCGACGGAAATTTTATGCGTTTATATGTCCGTCTGCTGACTGCAAAGCGGCCATTGTATGCGTATACAGAATCTTCTGTCTCCTTGTTACTTTCTGCCATTCTTACTAGGATCTACTCAACAACGAGCAACCACAGGATATACAAACACCACCTGTGTATCTTCCTATCTTCCAGAAGTAGGTATCACTATCCCACAGCCGTCACCTGACCCTCATATAAGGGAAACTCCAAGGTATGTACATTAAGACATACTTCCCTCGTCCACGGCTTCTTCTCACCTTTTTAGTATCTTTCCCTTAATCATTGTGCTGTATCGATCATTTGGTGATTAGAAAAGTGCAAAAGAGCGACTAATTGGAAACCCTCTCCGAGTACCAGTACACTTTTGCGTCCTTAGGATATGAATGTCCATGATATATTCCAGAAGCAGTATGCAGGGAGATGAAGGACTATCGCCTCCGCAGTACCCAGGCGATGATACGCGCCCGACAAGTAGGAGGGAGCTTGCTGGGTGGTATAGCTATAGCTGGGCAGCCGAAGTATTCACAGTATGCGCCATGGGTATGTACGATGCCGAGCAACGTATCCAACTAGATTCACCTTTCTTTGTGGCTCGTCTAATCTCTGTCTATGGTCTAGGCTCGTTCCTCCCTATTACGCTAGAGCAAATGGCCCGAGATCGCGGCGTCCTTTTTTCAGATAAAGTAACTCCATGTCGGACAACCTGGAAAGCTCCACAGCAGTTATCGCCACATGAGGTATTAGGCCAAACCCTTCTCAATACATCGCACCAGGGCCGAGATGTACCTGGTGCAAGCCAGTGTGTTGTTTACATTTTTGGCATAGAGGTTAATACTGCTAGCTTCGCCATGTATACATTCTCAGTGAGTGTCTTAGTTCAGGCCGTTTTGATCATATCCATGTCGGGTGCTGCAGACCATGGGACTTACCGAAAAGTCTTCTTGTTGACGTTCGCTCTCGTTGGCTCCATTTCTACAATGTTATTTCTCTCAGTTGTACCAAAGCTCTATCTCCTTGGGGCTCTTTTTGCAATTATAGCAAATACCTGTTTTGGAGCGTCCTTTGTACTCTTGAATTCGTTCCTACCGCTTCTAGTTCGCTACCATCCATCTTTACTTAGGGGCAATGGTGAAGTATCCAGTCAGGGCGCAATGGGAGACAATGCCTCGAGTAACACCTCCCACGATGTGGATGACCTCACGACGCCATTACTTCGCTCCGTTCATGTTCATAATGGAACGGCCACAGAAAATTCAGCCCGTGTGTCTCTCGCAGATACATCACGAGAGTTGGAACTCTCCACGAGAATATCTTCATATGGAATTGGAATTGGTTATATCGGCGCTGTATTATTACAGATAGTTTGCATTTTACTTGTCATCAGCACTCATCAAACAACGTTCTCTTTGCGACTTGTCCTCTTTGTGATAGGACTGTGGTGGATTATTTTTACGATTCCTGCAGCGCTTTGGCTACGGCCTCGTCCTGGTCCGCCACTATCGTGTGCTCAAGACGGGAAACAATACCACTCATGGCCTGGCTACATCATTCATGCTTGGAAGTCACTGGGTCGTACAGTGGTTCGGACACGACGCCTGAAAGATATCCTGTTATTCCTTGCATCGTGGTTCCTTTTAAGCGATGGAATCGCTACTGTCAGTGGCACGGCCGTTCTTTTTGCTAAAACTCAGCTGGACATGCAGCCTGCCGCATTGGGTATGATCAACGTTGTTGCAATGCTTGCTGGAGTCTTTGGTGCGTTTTCCTGGAGCTACATATCACGGTTGCTTAATCTTCGCGCATCACAGACTATTATTGCATGCATTATCTTATTCGAATTTGTACCACTCTATGGCCTTCTTGGGTTTATTCCAGCAATTAGAGATTTGGGATATCTTGGCCTCCAGCAACCATGGGAAATGTTCCCCCTCAGCATCGTTTACGGTCTGGTTATGGGTGGGCTATCTTCATATTGCCGAAGCTTTTTTGGGGAGCTGATACCCCCTGGGTACGAGGCAGCCTTTTACGCCCTGTATGCTATCACCGACAAGGGCTCGAGCATCTTTGGCCCAGCTGTCGTTGGCATAGTCACAGACCGCTATGGGGAGATTAGGCCTGCATTTGTCTTTCTTGCCGTTCTGATACTGCTACCACTACCGCTCATGCTCCTTGTGGATGTTGACCGAGGAAAAAGGGACGCTCTTGCATTGTCAGCAGAATTGGAAAGTAGCCAAGAACTCAATGCGCCTATCTATGGAGCAGTGCCGTGCGGTCGAAACGATAGTGAAAGTGCTGTAGCGCGGAGTGAGTGATGATTATAATCGGCTGCCCTCCTACACGGTACTACACCAGCATGTGGTTAAGTATGACCGGAGTCATACGGGTCGAATAGACAAGGGAATTGTGCTGTTGTTTCCGTTCTTACTTATGTCCCTTCAGTTTTAGAGTGCCAACAATAGTACAGGATCATATTCATAGGTTGTCCCGTAACGTAATTAGTATGTTGTAGGAGTACAGACGAGTGGGTTTTCTTTTGCCACAGGCATGGGGCAGAAGCTGGAGGTAGCGGTGTTATAAACACTCGTTATTGAATCAACACAAAACGTGCTTTGGTGTGTAGTATTTCATACAGAGCCAATGTACGATACAATTACTCCGGAGTATACTCGTACGCTACAATTGGGATATGCTATACATGGTTCGTGGAAACCAGAATGGAAGCTACGGAGTCCGCTAGGTAATAGTGGGCAAATATTGAAGCTATCGAGCCTTAGGTAAATGCTGGTAGATAGGCACTAAGTAGTGGTATTTATCCAATCCACTTCCTCCTCTCCGGAAAACAAATCATTGCTTGGGTTGTAGATCAAAAACAAGATCACATAGTCTTGATGCAACTATCTAATATGAAGAGGATCTTAAACGCTGCTTTTCCTTGGACTGTGGTCGACGAGTACGGTATTGGTTATTATAATTCCAGATACTTAAGTCTGCCTTGTCTCACTTCGTTTTGTTTACTGGGAGATTGTGGGTGGTGGGAGATATTAAAGGGATTACACAGGCATAGAGCACTGGGGTTGAAGCAGAAAACAACATACTAGTAAGATACAATGGTCCATGGGAAAGGAAGGCAGCAAAGGAGAGGATAAATTTATCTTCAACAGTTGATCAACATGACAAAATAACAGGATAGAACTATCTGTATCCGAGTGCATGTTGCATGTCTACTTATTGCTTATTACTCTCTACAGCCTATATATCCTGCAGTTGCTTATTGGCCCAACTTAAATGTGAGGTGCGTATGTAGAAAAAGATATGAGCATAAAAGTTGATTATTTCACTTTCATTGTAAACCTAAGTTAACATTATCAAAATTCTGGGTCAAAAGTATTGCAACAAAGCCCAAAATGCACCAAACTTGGTATGTTTAAGCATTCTGGATCGCACCAATATAGCTCATGTACCGCCAGTACAAGAATTATCCTATCTCTAACCTTTTTTTACACAAAACGTATAAATATAATTATTATATATTTCGTTTTATATATATTTAATATCAGCCTATATAGATTCATGGTGATAAAATAAAATAGATCTCAAGATTACAAATTCTTTATCAAAATTCGAGTGTTGCAATCTTTGATTAGAAACTTTATTTGCCTTAATACAGGAAGGTAGTGTTTGAACTAGTCCTGAGTATATACACAGTACTACAGTGCATACATATTGTATCAATTTTAGAGAGCCATCTGGGTGCACCGAGCGATCATCTTGAAGCTGAAGCATATCCCCACTTCCAAGCATTCCACTCACTACATAAATCAGCAGTTGAGGAATGGCCGTAAGTTTACTCCCTTCCCTTACTACTAGTAGGACACTAGACATATACACAATAAGAAATATTTTTCACTTGTCAATTAGCTAGTATCTTACTTTATAAGTCAGCAGCAAACCAATATGTCCTGAAATCTTCTATTTATAATGACAATAAAGAAACACCCAACTAAAGTTTAGGGGATTTATGGGGGAGACCCTAGAGGCTAGGTGATATTGGTGAATACTCAGAAGTGGCGCCCCCAAGTGCCCAGCGGGCCACTATTGAGGTGCCGCCGCACTATGGGGCGCTTCCCGAAGCTAGTAGGAGTTAGGGTGGTACCTGAACTTCTTACGCAGAACAGCTAGTCCCTTGCTGTGTGTCCATACGAGGCGGGCCCAGCAGACCAGTCATGTTGCCCAGGCACCAGCTGACTACAGAAAGAACAAACTGTCCTTAACTCCTTCCCATACCAAGCTCACTACTTAACTCGCCTTTGCCTATTCACTTCCCAGTCATTCCCATCATTCTCCTTCTTAACCCCCCTGGCCTCTTGATTAATTAAACATTACCCCTCTATTCGTTGTCCTCTTCCCGAGGAAGATTAGGAAGTGTAGACGTCACTTGCTGTCTTCTTTCAAAGGGTACTACTAGTATTCTTCATACTCTGTTGTCCACATAGACAGTACAGCACGTTAACCTTTGGAGATCATCGCACTTGATAACGTCACGATACCATGCGGTCGTTTGCACCTTGGATTTTGAGCCTCTTAGGCGCTTCTGCTGTAGCTTCTGCTGCCGATGCGACAACCGAAGCTCCCTCCGATGTGGTCTCGCTCACCGGGGACACTTTCGAGACTTTCGTCAAGGAGCATGACTTAGTTTTGGCTGAGTTTTTTGCCCCCTGGTGTGGCCACTGTAAGGCTCTTGCTCCGAAATATGAGCAGGCCGCCACTGAGTTAAAGGAAAAGAACATCCCGCTTGTCAAAGTGGACTGCACTGAGGAAGAGGCTCTTTGTAGGGATCAAGGTGTCGAAGGCTACCCCACGCTTAAGATTTTCCGTGGCCTTGACTCTGTTAAGCCTTATCAGGGAGCTCGTCAGACCGAGGCGTAAGTGTCACCTGTTTGGCAGCCTTGCTCGAATATTATTGACACTAGTTTCATAGGATTGTTTCATACATGGTTAAGCAGTCACTCCCTGCTGTGTCCCCTGTTACCCCAGAAAATCTTGAAGAGATCAAGACTATGGACAAGATTGTTGTTATTGGTTATATTGCGTCTGACGACCAGGCTGCCAATGAAATATTCACTAGCTTTGCCGAGTCTCAAAGAGACAATTATCTCTTCGCCGCCACAAGTGATGCATCTGTCGCTAAGACAGAGGGTGTTAAGCAACCTTCGATTGTTCTCTACAAAGACTTCGATGAGAAGAAGGCTACCTATGATGGGGAGATTGAGCAGGATGCCCTTCTCAGTTGGGTTAAGACTGCCAGTACCCCTTTGGTGGGTGAGCTGGGCCCAGAGACTTACTCTGGATATATAACGGTATGTCACAAAGCACAACTTCAATCTCGCTTCACAACATGTTATGAATGATCATGAGTTTCTGACATGAGTTTGGTGAAGGCTGGCATTCCACTAGCATACATTTTCGCCGAAACCAAAGAAGAGCGTGAGAAGTTCACCGAGGAGTTTAAGTCCATCGCCGAGAAGCATAAGGGTTCTATTAATATTGTCACCATTGACGCCAAGTTGTACGGCGCTCACGCCGGCAACCTCAACCTTGACCCCTCCAAGTTCCCTGCATTCGCTATTCAAGACCCTGAAAAGAACGCCAAGTATCCTTACGACCAATCGAAAGAAGTGAAGGCCAAGGATATCGGTAAATTCATCCAAGACGTTCTTGATGATAAAGTCGAGCCAAGCATCAAGTCGGAGGCTATTCCTGAGGCTCAGGAAGGCCCGGTTACTGTTGTTGTGGCGCATTCCTATAAGGATCTCGTCCTTGACAACGACAAGGATGTCCTTCTGGAATTTTATGCACCATGGTGCGGACACTGCAAAGCGTAAGTTCTTCCCCCTCCACGAATTTTATCTGCTCTCTATTGGGAATACCTAATCAAATTTGAGTAGCCTTGCCCCGAAGTATGAGGAACTTGCAAGCCTTTACAAGGATATCCCTGAAGTTACCATCGCCAAAATTGACGCAACAGCCAACGATGTCCCCGACTCCATTACAGGCTTCCCCACCATTAAGCTCTACCCTGCCGGCAGTAAGGACTCCCCTGTTGAATATGAAGGCTCTCGCACTGTGGAGGATCTCGCGAACTTTGTCAAGGAGAATGGCAAGCATAAGGTTGATGCTCTTGAAGTTGATTCGAAGAAAGAAGAAGACAGTGGTGATGTCACAGAGACTAGGACCGCCTCTGACGAGACTGAAACCCCTGCTCCTAGCGACGACAAGCCTGAGCATGATGAATTGTAAACTCCATTTGGCTTGATAGTTTTATTCATATTCATATGAGTTCCTGTCTTCTACCAGCAACTTGAGCAATTACAGCTACTTTCGTCTTATGTACTTTGCTGTTACATCCTACGCACAAGCTTCTTCGGGGCTTGCAGCTCAGCCATGCTTAAAAGTCTTCTTGGCACAATATTTGGGTATATCTTTGAACCTCATATCTACCCTTAGATAAAGCTGGGGAAGCAATTCGTTAGTTCTGCATCCCTAACGCATGACCTCAACGTTAGCTTCAGAGACTGTAAATCACCATACTAGGCACTACTATACCGTACGAGCTGAGTATAGTAACTTTTTAGGCTACCTAATACTCCCAAATTTACTAGTTATCACCGCCCACTAAAATTCTAGAACCGATGAGCTGTATTTCACTGTGCTTAGCTTGCATGCTAATTCTTAATGGCCAAGGGATACTTTCCAGTAAGACTGGTGAGCATTAGAAAGAAAGGTTCAGGGCTCACCAATATTAGTTATTTGCGTTGAAATTCCAGCGTCTCTCCAGGTCCCAGATACTACCTGAGAGAACGATATTCAGGATTTTTGGGGGAGGTAGCAAGATTGCCTCACGATTGAGGTGTACGATGTAAGGCCTCCGAGCTATATAGCACGCCAAAGAGAAAGAAAGGGAGAGCCTTGAAGGTGCAAATTTTGAATCTAGGATGTCGAGACCTAACAACATACATTCATTCATAACAACCCCAAGCGACGTCGAAGAGCGTTGATTATGACCTCACTTAATTTGTACCATATTCCCAATAGGTAGAACAAAAACACCAAAGCTGGCATGGTTCGAGTTAGACCGCATATTTAGCTTGCTGTCTCTGTGGCTGCTAGAGCTTCGAGAGCATCGGTATCATCATCAAACTCATCTGTATCCTGGAGCTCCAAGGGCTGTGTGACCACGTCAGCCAACTCTGCGGCTTGTGATTTAGATCGCTTTGCCCCAGAGTATGCTAGTTTGTCAACAGAGGCTGAAGGACTTTGAATAGTGCCGAGGGGGCTGGTAGTCTTTGTTCCTGAAGTCAGGCTCCAATCAATGACCTCGTCTGGACCGTAACGTTCAGCCAGCCACTCGTTGCACTTTTTAAAATGTCCATTGGTGAACTAATTACAAAACATCGTCAGTTGTACTCAGAGAGAAGTGTGGAGCTAATGCCACACAAAAGATGTGAGTTGTTTATACTCACAAAGCCCCTGGATGCACTGAGTGGGCTAGGATGAACTGATTGAAGTACAGAATGCTTCTGTCGGTTAATACCTGCCACACGCTTCCCTGCCGGTGTACCCCATGCAAGAAAGACAACTCCGTGAGATCGCACTCTGGCTACAATGTCAATTACTTTCTGTGTAAAACGTTCCCATCCTTTGTTTGAATGACTAGCAGCTTGATGTGCACGAACTGTTAGACAAGTATTAAGAAGCAATACTCCACGCTCAGCCCATGGTGTCAAAAGCCCTCCTTTGTTAGGTGGTCGTTGAAAGGAGGGATAGTCATTTTTGATACCTGTGTAGATGTTGACTAGAGAGGGAGGGGCTGGAGTCGGAGGTCGGACTGAGAATGCTAAGCCATGAGCCTGGTTATGATTGTGATAGGGATCTTGTCCGACAATCACTACCTTCACCTTGTGAAGGGGTGTATGTCGAGACCTAGAGCAGCGTAAGTATACTTGTACCGCCTGAAGAGACCATCCCGGCACTGTACCAAGAGTATATTTCGTTCTCCGGGGGGAATATTTTGACCCCCGACTGCTTTTCCTTTTGGAGGAAACGTTTCAACGCTAGAAACTCGGGTGCCACCAATTCCTCTTTCAGCTGAGCCAGCCAACTTTCATCCAATGTGTCGATCTCAAGCTGCAGGAGCTCCCTTTGTTCCGAGGTCAACGACGTTACCCATCCTTGTTTATTAAAGCTGGACGAGCGAGATGATGTTGATTTAGGTTCAACAGTTTTAGCCTTGGGAGGACCGAAAAAGGAAGTAATACTACCCTTCTTGGGCTTCTTCGCATCGGCGGGAGAGGTAGTCAAATGATTAGCACTGCGCTTCTGGCCTGCTGGACTGGACATGTTGTGTGTGTGTGTGTGTGTGTGTGTGTGTGGGAATCGACTCGTCCTTGGGAGAAAAACCGAGAACAATTGTGCCTAGGGAGTCGAGCGATAATAATTGGAGAGGGCGATTACAACAACAGTAACATCAATCAGACAAAAGACTCACTTAATATGAGACACCGTTGCATGTTCGCAGGATATAGAGCTGGAGTATGATGGACTGCCAGTGGTTTAACCAACAATGTGCATGCAACGCGTCAAAAATCGCGTGTACTGACGCGTGATGATAATCTATTCTCGACGTGGTAAAAGAGCTAACTACTACTAGTGCTGAATTAGTCGACGGGTAGTATTTTGACAACAATACTCCGTACATTACATGTACTACTAGTACGGAGTATTGGAATTGGATACACCCTTAAAGTAAATACATTACTACCAGACTGAATATTCTTGAAACCTACCTAATCAAAATTGGGGTAGCACTGGTAGCTAGTCGGATTGATCAGATAATACGAGAACTACGGTAGATTCTCCGCACATATCGAGTAGTAATTATAGTCTGGTGTGCATTTGGATTAAGTATTCGGTCCCGTAGTTGTTACCACTACTAGTAGTACTGCGTCCCAGACCAAGCATAGTGACTAACCTCTTTTGGATACCTAGTCTCGCAGCCTGAGGTGCCCACTAACTACCTAGACAGACTTTGACCTAAAATCATTTCGAACCAATCATCGGAATGGAAGCGCAATGGCTACTACTTCTGCATATCATCATCACTCTACATAACGCACCACATACCACTTCATGGAGTCGTTGTATTTACATATTTGAAATCTTCAATATATATCAATAACCTAATGAAATGGAACTGACGTGGCTTGCTGACATACCTCAGTCGCGGCGTCGCACCAGAGCCTTGAGGGCATGTGCCCATTGCCAAAGAAGAAAGGTGCGTCTGTATGGGTTTTGCGGCATGTGAGGCCAGTCGATCAAAAGGTGAAACCGGGTTCAACTAATTATGTAAAAAGAAACGCTGTCGTCATTTAGGTGCATACAATGCCCAACCCCAAGACCAATATAAGCCTACGTGTGTGATCGATCAAAATGAACCTGACGTCACAAAACACTCATCAATTAATCCACCGACAACTGGGATACAGGTCAATCCAAGGGAATTTCGCCCTATTTCTCCTGACTTCCTCCAGACGGAGCGTTTTGTGGGAGATCTTAATCCGGAAGCTGTGATTCGGGAAAGACTGGATGCTTCATGCCAAAGTCAGCTTCGAGACCGGATCGGACTTTGGATCAGCTCACCAGCTACCTGCAGCAATGCAAAAGACCGAGGAACAGCTGGTGCTGCCCCAGGAAATCCATATGAACCTCTCGGTCCACAATCTGTTGCAAAACTATTACACCAGCGGTATGCAACTGCCTTGAAAGCTTGTGAGCGTCTCCCTCTTTCGACGCGAGATCACTTGATTCCCATTTATTTCTCCAGGGTCAATCATATTTTACCACTTGTCGATAAGGATTCATTCTTGCCTGCCTACTCTAAAGAAATGACATCAGTGTTTCTAGAAAGGGCTATATGCCTTGTTGCTGCGAAAGACCGAACAGCCTATCCTTGGCTTCGACTGGCTACAAGTGGCCCTGTCATGACGCCACGCCAGTTCTGCTCTGAATTGTACAGAGGCCTTGTAGTCTCCCTCCATGAAGGGCTTGAAACCGATCGAATTACTCGTATCCGCACCTTAGCGCTGATGTCCTTGCATTGTGAGGGCCATGAAGGGGCAGAAGCCGCTTCCATGCATCTTTGTCAGGCGATTCACCAGGCTCAGACGGTCGGCCTGCATCTTGACCGTCCTGGTCAAGTACCAGGGGATTCCTCAACGGGCCTTTTTTGGTGCTTGTGGACGTTAGACAAGATGCATGCTTGCATAGGCGGTCGCCCTGTTCTCTTTGCAGACCGTGACATTGGTATCAAGAAGCCCGGGTTCAAGCCCTCCCATGCGAGGACTGCATTTGATGCTTGGTTTGCAATTTCAGATTTACTCGCCCATGTGATTTCATTCTATAGGCCAACTTCAGATCATACGGTCGGGTGGGAGGCCGGGTTTCCGACTTTCGAAGAAATTATGGGCGACGATGTGCGCGAGGATCTGGACTTTACTACTCTTGGTGGGTATTAATTTTGGTCAAGCTTAGTCCTTTCGGCCAGCCCATTATTGTTTATTTTCTTGCCCACTAAGCTAAATGAGAACGTAGGCTTCCTCGAGCTTTTCTACCACGCTGTTGCCATTCTTTCATGCAGATACAAATTGACCGGTCGCCCTGATGGTTCCAAATCTTCGTATATACGGCAAGGTCTTTCTGCTATTCGAATACACTCCATCGTAGCTACCGAATGCTCCCAGGACCTCCCTGCAATTCCCATTGTTCCGTATGCGCTCACACTATCTATGGGCGTGTCGTATCAACAGTTCCGCTCGAGCAAACTTATCACCCATTCTGATCGTGCCAAAGCTAGCTTGGAAGCTTGCTGTACGCTTCTAGAAGCCCTAGGGATTTCCTGGTGTTCTGCAGAAGCAATGGCACGGTTAGGGCGAAAGGCCCTACACCAGATTGATGGGTTAAATCTTGGTTCTCACAAACCCAGCCAAGCTTCCACCCAGCCGCCAGCGCCCGGCAACACGCTCATTAACTCTACAAACGCACAAAGTGCTGAGCCTGTCTTACATCTCCCATCTTATCAGAGCGATGACTATCCATTCAATGACCTGTCTGCTGCCAAGCAAGCTTCCTCAACTCAGGGATCACTAGACCCTCCAGAAAATAATATGCAAGTTTGTGAGACCGATGGTTTCGCCGATATTGACGTGCTTTTTGGTGACTTTTTGGATTTGTCGTTACCTACAAACTTCTGGGACCCGGTTTTCTTACCCTGACGAGTAGCATACAGGAACGTGATGTTACTACTCTGTAAGGAAAGCATGTGGAAAGGGTGGCACCAATAGTACCTGTCTTAGGGAGATTTGCCGGATGGACCATTCTGCGATTTCTCATTCGCGGGAAAGACTTTTGGATAAAAGGCAATGCCGATCGTCATTAGCGCTTGGATCTGAGGCTTCCCTTGAGTTTTCAATGTTTCCCAGCGACAGGTTGTGTTTGCCTTTCCACGTACGGACTTCTCTTTGCACTGCCTTATCTTAGACAAAATCTCAAAGAGGCCATCAAATCCAATGTCTCTACTCCATGCACTGTCCATAAAATTATCGGACATCCATGATTGGTGATCCCGGTCGGCAAGTCACCCAGTTCAAACACGAATCATGGTGCGGGTCGACGGCAGTTGAATAACACTTCTTGGGCATACGGCGTCGGGAGTCGGAACCCAGGATTAAAGGTCGAAAGAGGACCAATTGACTTACTCAGGGTTCTGGCGATTAATACTTCCATTAGATATTGCTTTATGATTTTCACGGAGGCAATCTTGAGCTTGAGGTGGGGAATTTAACATATAGAAATATTCTGGCATCATGGATAATTCATAAACAGTGATGATGTGGTCAAGATTGTGGCTCCGCCTTTCTCGTCTACATTCAATCTTTATCGGCCCTTTTCAAGTAATAAGGCAAAGATAGCAGTATTACTATAAATAGGTACACATTTATGTTTCTTTTATCACCGCTACCTATCCAATATTTAATCTTCTCCTGCCCCTCTCGAAGTCTCGAAGTCCTAGTCACTACGCGCCAGCTCTCTGGATCACTCTTACCCAGCGGAGCCTTTTTAAATGGTGATGGCGATGAGCAAATGTTAGTTATAACAAGTGTTTAATAATAGTAGGGGTTTCTCCTTCGCATCCGTAAAAAACGAGAGGGGAAGAAAGGGGAGAGAAAAGCTCTCATGCCAATTTGCCGCTGACCCTTATTAGTCAAGAGTACGGAGTAACTGGTTATACGTTAACTCCATGGATCTCCTGGTCTGGCATTCCATGAAATCAAATATACTCCGGAGTATAGCAGTCTACTACTGGAGTAAAAGGGAGTAAAGGTAGTACCAAAGATTATTGCCATGGCATTTGATTGGGTCCTTCCCCTGGAAATCCACCTCGTTACCCACCTGTAGGAACAGCTCTGGCAGGCTTGCACGGGCAGCACATTACCCTCTCTATTTTAAATCCCCACCTATTCATGGTTAATAATCTAATTTAATTTTCTCCTTTTTGCTCTTCATTCTTTGATCTCCAATGCCACTATTTCAAAGCACAATCTTTATCTTGTCCTGTGCTGTTTGACTTGCTACTTCCTACTTATTGCGCGGGCGAAGTACTATATACTGGAATTATCATGCATTAGTTCAATACTCTCCAACTCACTGTGTTCGTCACACCTCGCATTACATACGTCTGAGGAATCCGCGGAGAAAGTTGATTTGCACCCAGCTCCTAGCTGGCGAGGTGTATTACGAGGGCCTATATATATCGCTTATTTGGATTAATTGCACTCAGTGACCCCAGTTGCTCTTATACAATCTCTGGCGTCTGCTCTCTCTTCTTTTCTTCCCCTTTTAAGATTGTTTCTGGTCATAAAAACACCTTCTTTTGCGACTGCAAAGCGCCCTGGAGCTTGAATGTGTGAATATGGCATGGAAAATCCGGTCTTTCACCCAATAGAGAAGTGGCTCAGTGTGCTGCTTGTGGTATCATGTGCAGATAGAAACACACAAATTTCCCGGAGCCCACCCACGCCAGAATACGACCGGAAAGAATAAAGAGCTTGGCGGCTAATCGTGCCCGTGGAGTCTCTGCTGGAGGCTACCTTAGCATTCATGGCTCTCATTTCCAAATCTCAACAGCAACGGACTACCGCCACCGATGCAGATATAAGGGCAAAACATAAGTCAGACTATAGCAAAGACATTAGTCGAGCACCGATCCATCCAATTCCCCAACTACAAGGACCTTTCGAGGAATCAATTGTTGAAGCCTACGAAGGCACTAAAAGTGAACGGTTGGTTGGGCTTGATGCACAATCCCGGCGTAGAGACCTGCTAGAGAGCATCGAATATCAACGACTGTGCGGACGGAAATGGCGCCAAGGGCTCGGAGAAAGGTAAGAAATCAACATGCCTTCATAAAGCACAACCCCTTGTTTTCTGATAAACGTACAAACTGACCGATATTAGGTATCATCCGTTTTGGAAGCTTGTCGCTCAAATGTCCTTCGGCATTCACCTTCTAGTTAAGAGGCTCGCTAAATCAGACTTTGAAGTTTTGAGGATCCTTCAAAGTCATGTAGATGAGCTAGATGGATTTCTTGGAAGAACTACAGAAGACTTCCTTCTAATTCAGGTTGATGTGCGCACACGAATTCAATACCTTAATCTTCCCCTTCAGAACCTAGAGGCTTTTGATGGGATGTTACAAGACCGCAACTTCCGCCTAACCATGATTGGCTATAATCAAAAAATCGAACATGCCATCGAACGATTCACTACCGCCATTGAAGACGCACTGAAAGATATGCAGAAGGGAAAGGAAGCGATTGGGGTTTTGTGGCGATATTTGAAACAGTCTGCAGAAGAGCATGGACCACTGCCTAGTAACTTGTTCGCCACTCACAAAGCCATGCTAGCAAATACGGAGGGTTGGAATGTAGCCTTCTCGAAACTCCGCCGTAAAGGGTTTGCACTCCAATCCGCATTGTCCCAGCTCTGCCTGGCGATCACCGAATTGCAAAGGCGTGTAGGCGTAGCGAGCAGAAAAGAGGCGGTAAGTACAAGGCTGACCATTCTTCCACCTCCCCTTCTCATAGCTGAGTTAGATTCCTGACAAAGAGCAGGCGTCCTTGGTACGGATTGCGACTGCACTGCCTCGAGACAGGCCAATCAGAGAACGATTATTCGAGAAGCATGAATCCACCATGCTCCCAGAACTCTCGAGCTTAGAAAAGCCATTGCCCAGTGATCCATTTTTACCAGATGTAGTAAACGCCCGGCCCGAGGCACCTATATCTAAGCAGGTTGAACGCCGCAGGGTCACGCGAAAGAGTGCCCCGAATCTTCGAGAGCATACCACTATTCCAGGTGGAGCGGAATGTGTGAATGTTGTCGCTGATGGCTCTAGTCCAGCCACGCTCGTGCCGAGAATTCAAAGGAACTTGAGTAGGAGATTCTCAAGGGCTATACCTACCAGTAAGAAGTTTGAAGGTGAAAATACTGGATTAAAACAATCACGACCCGCTACAGCTCCTTGTAAGGGCTTGAGGTCTCGGAGCATTTCCCTGGAACAGTTAAAGGGCTTCTGGAGACTGAAGAAAGGCCAGCAGTACGAGCAGCAAGATATAGTAGGGCCACCACCTGTACCGCCGCCAAGCCGGCCTTATACTGCCCAAGCATCAGCGAAACGAGAAACTATGTTAACCCAGTTCTTGCATCATTTCAAGTCAGATAGGGTGATTGACGCTTGGGAAGGCACAATTCAGAAAGAGAGCGCCGTCCGTCATTCTCCGCAGAGAAGGAAGGATGAGCCTTGCAGCAAGTTTCGTGCGACACCAGCAACACATGATACATCCACAGAACTTCAAACAAAGCTTTTTGACAGTGACTTGGAGAGATCAATGTCCTGGTTACAGGAATATCCATCACAGAATACATATTTACTAAACCCAAGACGTGATGTTGCACCTAGAATCCACGTTGTTTCCGTCCATATGACACTGTCGGGGGAGGAAGGATGTTGCGTCAGCAATCATCGCGATAACGATATAACAAAGACAGACACGCAGTCAACCGTAACGGCTCTACCTTCTGTACCATCCCCATAGGTAAACGGCATGAATGCGAATACCTGTCATTGCAGAAGCTGGCCTCTCATGCTAACCACCGGAGGAACTGAGCACGGCTTAAAAGGAAATGCACTGTCAAAGTGACCAATCTATAACATGCTGTTCGTTCTGAAAGGGATGAGATACTTTCTTTCTTTCTTTCTTTCTTTCTTTCTTTCATTGGCAAATTTAGTATATACTTGATATTAATGAGCAGTCAGCTTCAGATGTCTTGCGGCCAATGACTGTTAGAGCGTAGAATGACGCAAACCGCACACTGCATTATTGGGCGATACCCGTACAGCTATGTGATAAAGAACAACAGAGAAATTCGGCTGCTTTTCCAATCATAGTCCTATGGAAAAAGTCTTTTCTCAACCCATCAAAGTAGTACAAGAACGGCTAGAAAGAACAAAGAAGATGAAAATCAGATTAGAGACGAGAAGAAATCAAATCACCAAACCACAAAAGTACAACTAGCGAACCACATCTCGTGCGGGCATAATATGGGAGAAGCAGAATATTACTTGCAGCGCTTCTCGACGATAGTCGAGCCATGTTCTTCGTATTCCTTCTTCGAAATCCACATTTGATGGAAGGTCCCCAAGCTAGCAAGGATACTTCCGCCAATCCAAGACCCGAATTTTCGCTCGGCCGTGTTTCCTGGCGCGGAGATCCTGACTCGCGGTCCCGGGTAAGCCTGCATAAGTTCTTGGTTGAGGCGGTCGGTGAAACCATGAAGTAAACTGGATGCACCCGTTACGACGACATTAGCTAATAAATGCGGGCGAATGTCAACGTCAACCCCGTTGAGTGCATTTTTGATCAACTCAGGCACAGTCTGAGCCTGTGTTGGAGCCGGGAATGGCGACTCCGGGTCTGGGATCGCAGCTTTTGCATCAAACAAGGACTCCACCACTCTATAGCGATCAAGACCGAATACTTGGTTGTAACCGTCTGGGAACTCGAATGGCCGTCCAGGATTGCTTTTAGCGACTTCCTCGTTTGAGACCCCGTTCGGGCCCGTTGCGGAGAGCTTGTTGGGTCCAGGCCATACCTGGACCACGCACTCTTTGAACTCGGAAAGGGTTCGCTCTTCGAGCAGGGTGCGGTACGAACCGTCCGGTGCCTTTTCAGGTGGGAAAGTCTTGTACTTTGCCTGCGAGGGTTGACCTGCATCGACAGCAGTTTTTGAGGAAATCAGGTAGTGAGGGGTGATGGTAATAGGTTGCGGTGTGTTTGTCTTAAACAGAGCGCGGATTTGCGATGAGATGTAGTCGCCGCCTAGAGGGGAATGCTGAACCCCACGTTTTAAAATCATTCCATCGTGCACTGGGGTTATGGAGATATTGGAAGCACCGACATCAACAACAAGGGCAGAAGCTTTCCCGGCTGCGAAGCTGAAGGAGGACTAAAGTGTGAGCAGCAGTATGCCGGACGGCTTAGGATGAAGGGGAAGGGGGGTACATACGCTGCCAGAACGCCGTTTCTTGCCAAATAGAAAGCCGGCGTTCCCCATTTTTCCATAGCGATCTCGATGGTCTTTTCACGGGCTTTTGTAGGGTTCCAGCCACACTCTGACATCAAGAGCGGACTGTCTGCGAGAGGCTTCTCCTCAGCTTCCACCCCCTCCATCTCTGTGGGAAGCTCTCCATCGGCAATATCATTCAAACCATTTTGGAATGGATTTCCCGGCCTAGGACCTGTGAGTCGCGATGTAAAAGAATACTCCCACACTTTCTCTGCCATGTCCCAATCCTCCACAATTCCATCTCGGCCCATTGGGTTATGGACGGACAAGCTAGGTCGCGGGGTAACAAAGACGTCATCACTGAAAATCAGCCTTTCTTGTCCGTTGGAGGTGTATTTTCCATAGTATGTTGGAATCAGGGATTTTGGCGTGTCTTCGCCTGCAAAGCCGGCGCGCGTTGTCGAAAACCCAGGATCAAGAACTATAGCCGAAACCTCATCTGTACGTAATGAGCCGTCAGTTTCTACTCTGCTCTGAAAAGACGTAGTCTATGTTGTGTTTTGCACATAGGAAAGCTTTCCACTGCGCGACGCATTTTCGAGAGACGACATACCTCCACCGTATTCAGCAGTCGAAGGTGGAATGGATGGGTTCATGGCGGAATCAAAAAAGAAGCACCGCAATTCGAGCGGTAGCAAAAATTACCCAGTGGTTCGGAGATTACAGCTAGTGAAGGGAATATAGTCCTGACAAAGGCCAGCGAGGCAGCTCTGTGAACAGTGCGGCCAAAAGCGTGGGTGGTGATGGAGGTGATTTATAGAGGGTGGGTGTGTTTTGCGGTGCGGGAACCAAACTTAAAAGGCTTGGGCTGGGTGGGCGTGCTTCATCATCTACATACTGCTGCCACTAGGTCGTATCCCCACAACTACGAACGATTCAGATTTGCTTCTCTTATGCGTACATTTCCATAGCGGAGGACCCATATTATACTTATACTCTCTTTTCTATCCACTTGGCTGCTAATGTCCTAGGTAGATGTCATACACCAAATCACAACGATGATGGACACTGATACTGCCTCGATTCCGGAGACTCTCTTCCGACCGGTGAAGAAAAGAAAGTTCTTGCGACGTCGTCCTGAGGACACGCTAGACGACTTTCGCATTGAAAATCGAAGGGATGACCGTGACCCAAACCCCACCACCCCTCAGTCCCAAGCAGACAATGATACCGTGCACCCTACTGATCTTGTTCGTCTGCGGCGTCTTCATCGCTTTCGCAAGGGTGGCATTGAATTTTCTACAACCTCACGACAGTCGGCAGACAATGATAAGCGAGCTGCTGTATCTACGGAATCAGTAGAAGATCTCGAGGCGCAGAGAATCCAAGCTATGTGTGACCGATTTACAGCACATACTGGACAGACGGTGGATGTTGACAAACATATGTACGATCTTACATCATATCCTATTCTATGGCTCGTATTGTCTGCAATGGAGACTAACAAGATAAGGATGGCTTATATAGAGACCGAAATGGCTAAGCGACACCGGCACAGTTTCCCGGCAGATGATCCAGATCGTTCTTTGGTGGGCGAAACTGGTGCTGCCCGGCCCGCAACCGACCCTCCTCAACGTGAACCAGCGTCTTTAGGTAAACTACACGAGATCGATCTTGGCCAGGAGACCAAGCTACAGAATATCGCACGTACAGAGGCAGCGACAAGAAAGTTAGCAGGAGACGATGAATATGAGCATCTCAAACATGACGACTCTCTCTTCAAAGCAGCCCCTGTGGGAAAGGACGAGAGACTATGGCGTCGTCAGAAACGACGAACCAGTGAAGATATTGAAAGAGACAGACTCGTCGAAGAAGTTCTGCGCGAAAGCAAACGTAAGCCCTTCAACACTTCCCATAATACTTTGAGGCATGTCCAAGCTCTAACAAAGAAAATACTATTTCTTGTAGTGGATGTATACGAGGAACCAGAATATGAAGCAGCGGCAGGAGGAGACGACCAAGCTGCTGATGACAGAGTCGCCGAACAGTTCCGAAGAGACTTCCTTGATGCCATTCAGTCACGTCGTCGGGTGACGCGAGTGAAAAATCCCAAGACCGCGAAAACTGAGGCACCGCGGGGTCCCAAGCTGGGAGGCAGCCGGAGTGCTAGAGCTGCAATGCGGGAAATGCAAGAGAAGCAAGGACGTAAATGAATGTCCATTACAGCCTCCCTGCCCTACTCATTTGAATCTTTGGTAGCCTCATTCTTATTGCGACATCTTGTCGTCTGTAGCGCCAGCTTACACCCTGGATATATTCCAGCATAATTGATATTCTGGGCGAGATCAAATCGGTGGGTTCTCCTTGTGTCTCATTCGAACAGAGACATCACCGTTCTTATCTTTGTTTGGCGTATTTCTATTCCACATATACAAATAGGTGTATGGAGTTGTTGAATTACCGCCATTGCTCTGTATCTCAGGTATTTCTACCATGACAGCCACCGTCGGGACGGAAACATTTCAGTTACCCATCGACGATAATGTCCCATGTTTCAAATTGAGTGAAGTGGATACCTGACGGGTCAGTAATATTTGAAAACTGTTGCCACCTTCCATTCAGCTATTCCCGTGCAGGAAGCTTGCTAAGGTTGTCAGAGTGGGTGACGACTATTTCTGCTGTCTCTGAATCGAAAACCCAGCGTGTGCAACAATAGTGCTATTAACCTTGCTTGAATAGGTGAACTGTATAAGCTATAATGTTTTTCTACATAGTGTTTCTCACTTTCTGGCATTGTTTCAATAGTAGGACAATGCGAGTTGGTGTTCGGCCAGTACTTTGAATTGACTGTGAAATGAGTTTAATATACCTACATAGGTGCCCCCTATCCACATATACCATACAGGAGGATGAAACAGCCGCATTACACCAAGTTCACTTGGTTGATGTGCAGTAACTGTCTATCAAGTTCTTGGACCTAATAGAGGTGGGGTTGAACCCTAAAACTAGACTCTTATCTCTAGATCAACGAGCAAGTGACAGTTCGTGCCTAGGAGAGTTGTTCTTGTGGGATCTTCTATGATCCCTATATTCAATGATAGATGGCGGCTACTACCACCTTCATCATTAGTTTTGTAGTACTGGTAGCGAATTTAGTCGACACTACAAACATTTACAGTAAGATATAGTGTTTTGGCCCGTGTTCTTATAGCCTCGTGAGATTCACAGGGCTGCAGGATGCAGGTAACCACCGCAACGCTCGGTACCCCAGCGAGGGGACAGAACTGTCCAAGAGCGCAAGAAAAGAAATAGGGAACCGGTTTGAGAGCAGAAAATAAACTCAAAGGACAGTATGTTAGGTTTTAGGTGAGAATATTTGAAAATTATCCCCTAGGTTCTATACGAGCAAAGAGCCTCGCCTGGCTTGGTATTCTTGTAGATGTATGTACATACACTATCTTGGTAAGCTACCATTGAGCTCTGCGATGTACATTTCATTACGAGCTGTCTATAACTAGTAGTCTATTACTCCGTACTCCGTACACCCTAGGGAGATACAACTAGGTGAGTAGTGGGGTTTGCTCAATACACAGTACAAGCCAGTGCTTACTGAGTAGTAGCACACATCCATATGGAGTGCCTCAGAAGCTAATCTGCCACATGCTAGCCGACCGACGCAGATTGATTGCTTGGTGTTCCAGGCTCCAGCCTTTTCCCCACTCAATCCGTTCGGCATCCCCTTCTAATTTAGTTCTGAAAGAGAAGGGAATGGTAATGACGAATAAATGAATATGAGAACTACATCTATGAAGATGATCATGTCCATCGACTCTGTCGTAGAGTGTGGATTAAGAGGATTAAGAGAAGCAGCAGCATTCCAGACACTTGCTCTATGTTTGTACTCTCTTATACACCAGATAGAAAGGACAAAGAAAAAGAAAACTTAATACGGAGGACAAGAGTACAGGTATTATTAACATCGGTTTGGGGCCTTCACTGTGGCGTAGCCTAGCCAATCTCCTGTGGCGGGTGGTCAGTGGGGGCAATTCAGCCCAGTTTGCCGTGTGCGTGGTTTCTGTATGGAGTAGATTTTTTTCTGTCTTTTTCCTTCTAATCTTTTTAATGGCTACTATAAGTCCTATCTATCAACTTATTCAGTTCTATGGCTATAATATAAATTATCTGGAGATCTGATCTTTTTTCTTCCCCCCCCTCTCTCTCTGCTGTTCTGTTTTAATGTTTGTGAATGAACACTCCACTGATATGCAGCAAATACACAGCGGTGTATCATAAATTATGGAACAGGGTGAAATTCTAAGTTATTGAAAAGTATCCGTAAATGGATCATACAAATACGAAAGGGAAAAAAAAAAAAAAAAAAAAAAAAGGGAAAAGTCTGGATGAGTACACTGGAAATGTTGGAATCTATTTGACATACGGTAGTGGTACTACGTAAAGAAATTACCTTTATTTACCTTGGTAGGAAGTACTACGATGCCAGCATATCAGTGGTCCCATAAAAAGGTCTAGAGTCTAAACGGCTCCAGACGGCGCCATTCTTGGGCCGTTCCTGAGCCGGGCACTGGGCCAATCAATGGCCGTGGTGGGACAAATCTTGAGACAACTCAGGGGCAAGGTGTCGGAGTCTCGAACCCTACAACGAAGAGCTAACCACTTGACACCGTCTTGTTGATTATTATTAGGCATTCTCGGTAAGGTAATGGGTACTACTTTTTACTAGTTAGTTCTGGTACCAGCTTTTCGGTAGGGAGATTGGCCCGCACTGTGCGTATGCTTGTACTGTACCGATCCAGCCAGACGCCCTGAAGAAGATGGCTTCTCTTCTATCACTGATCGACTGATTGATGTGCATATCCTCCCCTCCTTCTACTTTCATTCTCCATCATCACTCGTTTGACATACAAGTCGTGTTTCTGATTTTGCGCTGCGTCTTGCGTCTCGCCGTCTGTTTTTGCCTCTTTTTCACTTCACGCGCTCCCTTGCGACTCCTTTCTTTCCCGAAACCACCCGAGAGCTGCTATTGTTTCTTTCGATTCACTCTTTCCTTTACTCTCTCTCCTCATAGTCCATACAGCTCTTCCCTTCCCCTGCCGTTTTCCTTGAGGCCGAGGAAAGGTGAGCTACAAGAGACGGAGTGAGCGAGTGGATTGAGTGGTCCTAACGCTTTCCTTGTGTATGCCTCTCTTTTGGAAGCCTCTCAACTTTTCTTGCTCAACCCTCCTTCTCCCCAATCATTCTCCCTGTCTTTTGATGCTCTTTATTTTCGCGTTGTGATTGCTCTCATTAAACTAGTTATATATACGATTCTTTCTATTCTACACAGGTTGATCCTGTGGCATTTCTGATTCTCGGCCGGTCCGGTTGCTATCAGCTTGATTACTTGGAGTTTTCCTCAACTTTAATCAGTTTAATCGCCTTCAAATATTCATCTCGATTGTCTATCAAACCGAACTTCGGGATTGGGAATCCCTACTTGAGAAACTGACGCCTGAACAACACGTTTGATGTTGGCACTTTGAACTTGAGTATTGGAAAGATTGTTCTTGCCGCAATGCGGGTTTCTATATCAGAGCTCACCTTAATTGCCTTGGGCCTGTGTTCCGTGCACGTTCTCGCAGCGGACACGCTTAGCACAAATGGCATCTCAACCTGTCTGACGGGCGCAGAAATACAGGTCCAAAAGTTGGACGTTACTTATACACGTTCCACTAGAGTGGTAGTCTTTGATGTTGCCGGAACAAACGCAAAACAGCAGAACATTACCGCATCTCTGTCGGTTTACGCCTACGGTAATGAAATATATAGCAAGTCATTCGACCCTTGTGGCTCGGAGAATCATGTCGAGGAACTTTGTCCTGGTAAGTTTTATTAGCACGGAAACTCTCCTGCCTATAATACTGACTTGTTTCTCCTCAATGCAGTCCCTTCCGGCGCCTTTCAAGCTACTGGTTCGCAACAAATCCCAGAGTCCTTTGCCAGCCAGATTCCTGCGATCGCCTTTGCTATACCCGACTTGGATGGACAAGTGAAACTTGAGCTGAAATCCAAGGACGATATCCACAAAGTTGCTTGCATTGAAACGCAGTTGTCGAACGGAAAGTCGGCACAAATGCCAAGCGTAACTTATGCAGCCGCCGGTGTAGCAGGTGCCGCTCTGGCAATGAGCGGTCTGTCTGTCATAGGTGCTGCCGGTCATCCTGGGGCTGTCTCATCTAGTCCGGGGTTTGGTGATGTCATGGGATGGTTCCATAGCATGGCAACGAACGGTATGCTCAGTGTCAGCTACCCAGCAGTGTATCGCAGTTTCACAAAGAACTTTGCCTTCAGCACCGGCCTAATCCCATGGGGTCAAATGCAGCAGTCTATCGATAACTTCCGAAAGTCGACCGGCGGAAACCTCACTGAGAATAGCTACGACTTTCTCCGCAATGCTACGCTCGAGTTCTCAAATGGCTCGTCGGCAGACACAAGTTCTAAGGTCAAGCGAGGGTTCAATTTGATTGTAGGCGCTGCCGACTTGACTATACGTGATGTCTCAACTTCGTACAGTGCGAATTCGACCTCTGGCGATGAGGCCAGCGATGATACAGTCAAAAAGGTTGTCTCTGGTATAGAGGCTTGGGCGGAACAGCTTACCATTCCTCAAGCGAACATATTCATGACATGTCTGCTGATATTTGCTATTGTTATAGCTGCTATTACAGTGGGCATTTTACTGCTTAAAGTTATCCTTGAATTATGGGCCTTGTATGGATCCTTCCCTGCGAAGCTCACTAATTTTCGCAAAGATTACTGGGGTTTGCTGGCCAGGACTATTACTAACCTGATTCTTCTTCTCTATGGGATTTGGGTCTTGTATTGCGTCTACCAGCTCACCGGCGGAGATTCGTGGGCCGCGAAAGTATTGGCTGTTGTCACACTTGTCATATTTACCGGTGTCTTGATTTTTTTTGGCCTCCGAATCTGGTATATGGCTCGTAAATACAAAGCATCTCAAGGTGATGCCTCCGGCTTGTACGAGGATACAGAGACCTGGCGAAAGTACAGTCTTTTTTACGACAACTACAAAAAGGATTACTGGTGGCTCTTTGTCCCCGCGATCGTGTACATGTTTGTCAAGGGCGTAATTATCGCTGCGGGCAACGGCCATGGCCTAGTTCAGTCCGCCGGTCAACTCATTGTTGAAGCTCTCATGCTGGCGCTTTTGCTATGGTACCGGCCATATGTTGCAAAGTCGAGCCAGTGGATCAATATCAGCATCCAGGTTGTCCGTGTATTATCGGTTGCTTGCGTATTGATCTTTGTTGAGGAACTTGGTCTTTCGCAGACTACCAAGACTGTGACGGGTATTGTCCTTATCGTTGTACAATCCGCCCTCACAGGCATCTTGGCCATCCTCATTGCCGCTAACGCCATCATCCTCTGTGTCCGAGAAAACCCCCATGCGAAACGGAGAAGAGAAGCCAGTAAGTTGAAGGAGCTTCTTGGGCCATTTGATATGCTAACAATCGGCGTTCTACTTAGAAAAAATGAACCGTGATATCGACGATTTGACACCTTTGGATGCGCGGGAGTCGCTTCTCATGGAGAATCCACCCCGGAAAGAGTACACAGAGATGAGCAAGTTTAACTTCACCGGCCCTTATGAGCCCTACCGGGACCACTACGATCCGAAGTCACGATCAAGCCCTACAGGAAGCACAGACCGTTTGGTGGACCCTCCTGGCTATCATGAAAGTCAACATGGTCGAAGTCTCAGCCGAGAAAGCCGGCATACCCGTGATAGTCGTGGTTCCCCAGATGGACGTAAACCTACCGCTCCTGGTTATGGCTTCGCCTATTGAGCCATTAGATCATGGAAGCAATTCATGATACACTGCCTTCTGTATCCTTTCTTATTCTATCTTAACCCATTTTCTCTTACTTCTTACCCTCTTTTTCTCTGTGTGTATAGAAGCCTATTCTTGCCAGACAATTCGATCAATTTAGCGGATTTGATGTTACTCCTTTCTTCACTTGATGTACCATGTTCGCCCTCCCACCCCATTTTTCGCATATACACTTGAATACGTGTCCATATCAGCCTCAGATTCTGTCACAGCCAACAATAATTGCACATTAGTCTCCCTTATAAGACAAAGGCCCACGCCTAAAACAATAGCATTATGTTAAATATGATCATCTTGCTGGTGTTTGGTGATCCTTTATGGGGTAAAATAGCTGGGCCTATATTAGGACACAGACAGAAGGATTAATGGTGAGCCTCAAATTGAGGAGAGATCCGTATAGAGTAGCCGGCCCCTTCCAACAGTGGGATGAACACACCAGTAGTGCATTAGAGTGAGGTGAACTTTATGGTAGTTCCGGTAACAAGTTAAGTTGTAAAGTTTCATAAGTTTTTAAACCATAGTCTCCCCTTCTATGCTATTCTTTTCCATTTGTGTTTCAAATCCCGAGTGCATACTGGCTGTTCACTAATCCTCCATTTCTCGATACTCAATGACAGCGACGGCCATACATTATTATTTTACTTTACTTATTTTGCTTTCTATTCTTTCGCTCTCTCGCTCTCTCTTCTTTTCTTTTCTCCGGGGAAGGAATAAGTAGGTAGTCGGAAGCATTTTCATGAAGAACACAAGAGCAGCATCGTTGGATAAGTACATTAGACACATCACCAATTTCGGGGAGATCCTTAGCTCAACACACGGTATCATGGTCCGCCGCCACTTACAAAAGCAAAATTTTGAAAAGAAGATTAGGTAACTGAGAGGTTGCTGCCGGATGGATTCAGCACCACACAAAGAGGGAGGTCAGAATGGCAACATCCGAGTAGAAGAAACACATCAAATCAACCACGAGCATAAGGATGAAAGCCACGATGGCCTCCGCGACCTCCACCTCGGTAATTTGCTCCAGGTTTTCCAGCATTCTTGGGCCCAGTTGGAGCGTTGGCTGGTGCGGCACTCTGAGGCTGAGGTGTCGGTCCTGAAACGGAGTTAGCAGTTGAATAATACATATGATTCCTTAACAAGCAGACGATTAAAATTCTATCAAATACATACCACGTCCCATACTGCCAGCTCGATTCATGGCTTGCGGTCCCGTGGGGATGTTGGGCTGGGGCACTTCATCGTACATACCTTCCCAGGAAGTTGGACCGCCCTGTTGATAGGGAGAGAACGCCCGGTTTTCCAAGGCCCGACGAGCCTGCTGCTGTTCATACTTCTGTTGTTCAAAGGCAATCTGCTCATGAGCGTTGTAGCCTGGGCCGCCACGAGGTCCTGAATAACTTCCACTCATGTTCACATTTCCAGGACTACTGCTCCCTATGTTCATAGCATTCCCCATCTGTCCTCCTTGACCTTGGTTTTGCATCTGCTGCATCTGCTGCATAATGGCAGGATTCATCATATTCTGCATTTGAGGGGTCTGACTCTGCGGTGGAGGACTCATGCTTCCCTGTTGTTGATTATTGCCCATTTGCATCTGTTGCATCTGCTTCATCTGCATTTGTTGCATCATAGCTGGGTTCATTCCACCCATGCCCATTGCGCCCATGCCTTGGCCCTGAGCGGCAACGGCCATCTGTTGCTGCATTAAAGCAAAATATTGCTGCATCCGTTGCCAATACTGCGCCATCATCTGTGGAGTCAAGCCACTAGGCATGCCGGCCGGCCCTTGAGAGCCTTGTGGCTGAGAACCATCGCTGCCAATTTGACTTCCCTCGCGAAACCCGTCTCTGCCACGGCGGTTCCTGCGATCCTCTTCGTCCCGCAGATTACCACGTGGTTGAGCTTTCTTAACCTCAATAGGCTTACCGAGTATCTCTAAAGGACGCGAGAGTGCTGCTTCAACAGCAGCCTCGCTGTCAAATGTCACAAATCCAAATCCGCGAGGCCGACCAGTGTCCTTGTCGATCATCAAAGTAGCATCGATCACACGACCAAATTGCATGAAAAATTGTTTGAAGTCTTGTTCATTAGCTTCTTGGCTAACACCACCAACGAAGATTTTGCTTGTCTTTTCTTGTTCGTCACGAGGGATTGCACGCTTCGGATCGATCTTCGAGCCATGTAAGCTTGTGCTTTTGTTCAAGAATTTGAGGATATGAAATGCATGACTCACGATTTTTCCATCCAAGTAATGCTCCTTGACCATGACAGTATTGACGGTCTTAGGGTCTCTAAAAGTTAAGAAACCAAAGCCCCTAGAGCGACCTGTAGCACTGTCTCGCATCACAGTGCATTCCTGTACCTCTCCGAACTGAGAGAAGTAGTCCTTTAGGGATTCTAATCGCCAAGTTAGATTGCTGACAATTGTGCTGGATGACTACCAACGGATCTTGGAGGTACATACGGTCAGTTGTTTCCCAGTTGAGACCGCCAATAAACATCTTCCTATTAAACGCAGGTAATATTAGTATGCGTGCCTCAGTCTCGGTTACTAACGGTAAAAAAAGATAGATAAATAAAATAGACATAGGAAATGAGAGAGGAGCAACAAAGAAATAAACAAGAAGAAAAGGTAAGCAAGGCTTCAATCTTGGCTGTGGCAGGCTGACGCTGTGTCCTCTGAGAACAAGGACAGCATGGTTGACGGACGACTATTGCGATGTAAAAGCTTATGAACTGAGAATCGATACCATATTGACAGGCACTAATTTGACTTGAGAAGCGGGTGAAACCACGGCAAGCAATGCGTAGGGGAGGTTTTGTTTTGTTTTTTTTTTTTTTTTTTTCTTTTTTCTTGCTTTCTTTCTCTCTTTTTTTTCATAGTCGCTTCAGGATGGTTCGTCAGTGACATGCACATACACTGACGGAGCTGCGACTGGCTGGAAGGCTCATGGTGACAATCAACCTCTAGTCAATAATCCACTGGTTTACTAAACGATCCAGTGGACTGAAGGTCAAACGTAAGACAATCCCTCGGGTCCGGGAGGTATGCGGTGGTGATAGCAAAGACCATAAGTTGAAGCATCTCAGGCGGAATAAGTCAATTGTTTCTCTTTCTCTCTTCTTCTTTCTTTGACCAAGGAATCTCTGCCTGTCTAATAGTCCGAAGCTAGGTAAACTGTTCGCAACCACAAAGCCAAGGCACCTACTCTTGTTCTGTTCCTCTGCACTATCAAGATATCTCGACAAGAAGCTATATAGCATCGGCTGTACTATAGTCGCTCGCGACAATGGCTCGTAGAGACAGGAGTTCGAAGTTTGCCTTTCCGCAATTGTCACATCGACGTTGTGCCGTTGATATGTACTCCCATTTTGTCCCTCAAGACGCCAGAGGTAGAATTTGTCCCCACCAGATTGCTCTCCACAGCCAAGGCTGACGAGGGTCTAAAGACTCTCTATCGAAGATTGGCCATAACCTTGTTTTCTATAGCAAGTATGTTTGGGTTTCCATTGGAGAAAGACCTGGATGCAGGTCGAAGAATTTCATCACTTTCTCCAGTGTACCAAGCAGCCACATGTATAGAAGCCTTCCCACGAACTCGCGATATCAGCACAGCCACCATCGCCTTCACCAGCTCACTGGAGCTCATCCTTATACAGAACGGTAAAGTGATAAATAAGAAGAAAAGGGCATTGTGAGCCTTCCAATATCATCGGTTCCAAATGGCCATTAAAAAACCAAAGAGGAAGTAGGATGACCAAGCCAATTTGGGTGTGCATTCCAATCCCAGCAAGCGTATAAAAACTTCAAAACATCCCTAGCAAAAGAAGCTATTACTTACCCATCTTCTTTGATCCCGGTTCCGTGATGCTCTGTTTCCCCCGAAATAGGGGTGATAGTATTGGTGAATCCAGAATCTAAATTGCCTGTGCCATGTTGGTGAGCTCCATCCTGTAGGAGCTGTTGGTGTACACCGCGAATGTCTTCCGTTTCAATATGAGAGGCGTCGGAGGCATGTGTTGCAGGAAGACCGGCCGACTGAGTCGGGAGGACCGAAGCTATAGGCTCCGAGGTAACTGGGGCATCAACGGCTGAAGTTGGTTGGTGCGCGGTCTCATCCACATCATACCTGTCAGGACATTAGACAGGCTCTTGTGAGGTAAATTGCGGCAAAGTGAAGCGCCATACAGATCTGCAAACAGGTCTTCTTCAACATCCTCTGGCTCGGTCATGGTGAGTTAATACTAAAAAGCAGCGTAAGCGAAGGGCCGAGTGGCTGCAGTAGAATGCAGTCGATTGAACCAGTTCAATTAGGGACCGAAGAATCTAGCAACCTAAGTCCAGTGGTGACGAAGCGAGATTCCTTCTCACAAATAATTAGCCAACGGAAATGAGGACAGTACTCATAAAGTGAATTGGGAAGTTTGGTTTAAGAGGGGTGAGAGAGGAATGGCAGCAGAGTGGAAGAAAGGAAGAGGTGTGAGGTTTACGTTTGGAGGTTAGCATGAGAGTGAACAAGACTCAGAGAGGAGTTAGTTTAAGTTAGCCGCTGACCGCGCGAACCTGAGATCCGTAATAAATTTCATTCCATTTACCTGCCTAGGTATTATATTCTTCCCCATACATACTAGTACACATACATAGGTCAAGAACACAGTACTATCTTGTCTCCAATAGCTAGAAGGTCCCTGCCCTGGGCAACTTATCATATCACTTGGCTCAATTTTTGTTCAATTCTTCACCAACAATCATTTTTCTTAACTTAAGAAGAGAAGGAAACTATTATATATAGTATAGATTACCTTGACAATACAATATCTAACTATTCTGTACCATCACAAGTTGTTAATTCATCTTGGCTCGACTAGTCTACTACTTACAGCAGCATCATGGTGCCGTAAAGCACCCCGCAACTAACCTCTGTCTTTCTTTCCTCCCCCTTCTTCAATTACTTACCTTCCCCCAATTCTGAATGAACCTCCGCACACCAGTGGCGTCACGCAATGGCTACTAGAAAGTCACAGCCGCAGGTAAGTGTATCTAGAAATACTCCTCAAACCAATGCGACAAAGAGCTAATCCGAACTACTTGTCTTTGGTATAGGAGATGGTCCAGGTTGGTTCGTACCTCATAGTCCCATGTTTCACCTCGTTCTAGCAGCTGATATAGCTCCCCGCTTTCAACTTATTAGACCGTTCTGAGTATGTGCAACCCTACTGGTGCGATAAGTCTAATTAGCTACGCACTTTACTGTGTCTTTCTTCTGTTCCCCATTTCTTGCTAATCACCTTTGCGAAGGAGAACGGGCTCACCCTTCTGGAAGGGAAGACCAGTTTCCCAGAACCACAGGCTCCCCAAACCCAATGATCAAAGTACCGTTGTTGGCTCTTCATATTCCCATGCAAATATTTTGAAGTAAGATTTCGTTCGCCCATGTGTCATAATTCTTAGCAGCTCCTCAAGATACATTGAATAACTTAGTGCGTCTAGCAGAGGTATATCGCAACAGCATGCGCGCCCGCGGACACCGCCCCGATCAGCGTCTACCAATCCTCAAAAATTCTCGCCATCCTCCCATCAGCCTGCATCATGGTCTGCCTCTTCTCGTAGGTCGTACACCGGTATTATGAACCAAGGAGTCGATTCATGGGGTCGCGATCAAATGGAAGACGAGGAGGAAGAGGAGGAGGACATTGTCTATGATGATGATGAGGATGAGTTTGGACTTCCTAGCATTACGAGCATGCGGAAGAAGCAGAAACAGAATGTCGACCCTCTTCCATCCAGGGGTGCTGACCCAGGCGGTCGAATTGGAGGCAGTGCCTCGGCCCTTAGTGTTGGTCTAGGGAACAGTAGACAACGTGCCAACAGCTCGGATATTGCGGAGGAACGAGGTGTTCCTATGTACCCAACAGCTAAAAAGGGGGAAGAGAAGATACTTCGGCCTCAGTATAAAGACGTTCTAAGAGGTAACGGATGCGATTTAAGCTACCGAAGTTTGCAGACTAATCCTCACTAGATCCTGCAAACGCTTTGAATCTTATCAACCATGCTCCGCCCCCCAAGAGTGCAACTCCGAAAGAAATGGACCAATACTCGAGCCGCATTTCGAGAATCAACAAGTTCAAACGCCTTTTGCAAACAAGCACGGTTCCCTTAGCAGAACTAAGAAACTTGGCCTGGTCAGGAGTCCCCGATGAGGTACGGGCGATGACCTGGCAACTTCTCCTGGGCTACCTCCCAACAAATTGTGAACGACGTATTTCGACCCTCGAAAGGAAGCGTAAGGAGTATTTAGATGGCGTTCGCCAGGCTTTCGAGCGCGGCAACGCCGCAGTTGCCGGAAAACCTCCTGCTTCGACAACAGGGCGCGGCAGAGGGCTGGACGAGGCAATATGGCATCAAATCAGCATAGATGTCCCTCGCACTTGCCCACATATTCAGCTCTACGGCTATGAGGCTACCCAACGCTCCCTAGAAAGGATTCTTTATGTTTGGGCCATCCGACACCCAGCCAGCGGCTATGTGCAAGGGATCAATGATCTCGCTACTCCATTTTGGCAAGTTTTCCTAGGTGTCTACGTTACGGACCTTAATGTAGAAGAAGGGATGGACCCGGGTCAATTGCCCAAGAGTGTTTTGGATGCCGTCGAAGCGGATACATTCTGGTGTCTTACGAAGCTCCTTGACGGCATTCAGGATAATTATATATATGCCCAGCCTGGTATACACCGGCAAGTTAGAGCGTTACGCGACTTAACCATGCGCATTGATGCTACCCTCGCCAAACATTTGGAGAAAGAAGGTGTTGAATTTATGCAATTTAGTTTCCGATGGATGAACTGCTTGCTCATGCGCGAAATGAGCGTCCAGAACACCATACGCATGTGGGACACGTACATGGTTCGTTACCCTAATTTTGCATTTAGGTGAAGCGTGCTAATCTTGTATTCAAGGCCGAGGAGCAGGGCTTTTCAAGATTTCACATTTACGTGTGCGCGGCCTTTCTAGTCAAATGGTCGGACCAGTTGGTGAAGATGGATTTCCAGGTAAGCGCGTTGACTGAGAAAAGGCATGATAAGGAAGGTAGTGCTGAATGAGAATAGGAAGTCATGATGTTTTTGCAAGCCCTCCCAACCAAAGACTGGACCGAACAAGATATTGAACTCCTGTTGAGCGAAGCTTTCATTTGGCAAAGCCTGTTTCAAGACTCTCGGGCCCATCTTCGTTCCACTGGTGACCCATCCCCCGATAATGGATTGCAATGACGAAGTCGAGTTCTAATAAGCATGCTCCAAGCCCCTAGCTTGTGGCAAAGCAAGCCGGTCCAGGTTCTTTCCCCTTGGACATAAATGCAAAGTAAACAGGAAAGCCCTTGTAGTGGAAAACCCACGACAACTTCTAAAAGCGGCCCCGTGGCAGATGCTCGTACGTTCCTCTGCTAAGCCCGTAAAAGTCTGTCGACATCTACTGCTTCCGGCTTCCTCACGCATCTCAATCTTCTGTATGCGCGCGTGCAAAAGAGGAGGAAGGAGACGAGAGAAAAACAAGGGAAAAGGAAGGAAAGGAAGCCCTTTTCTCCTTTCATCAAGATCGGTGGTCTTGTCGACTAGGTCCGCTTTATCACCTTCCCCGTGTCGCGCACGTTCATTGTGTTCATCTCCTGATCTGCAGAGGGCCCAGCCTAGACATGCCTATATCCTGCCCTGCCATTAGTCTCTACTAGATCTACCACCTAGGGATCCTGGAAAGGCTATGGTGGGTTCGTTTAGCTCTTCTCTTTCACAACCAATTCTTCGGTGGGCTAGCTCTGATTACCAACCATGTAGGTCTGGGAACAAGATGGAACAACACTGGGATTGACTGGGAGAGGGGAGGCTACTTGAGGATTATCATGCGTGCCATCAGCAGGTGATCTACCCTGCCTCATACTCGCAAATTGAAGGCGTCTACTCTATAGCCTACCGACAGGCTTTGTGATGGGCAAAAGCCGTGGTGCGACAGAGTGGGCGATGCGGTGGTCAGTCTGCAGGGCTGCTTACAGGGCGAAACGTTGACGTATGGAATTTTCTCAGTGCAGCTAAGCAATTAGGCGCGCAAAGGAAGCACTGTTTAGACATACGACGTCCTAGGTGTATGGAACATGGCTAATATAAATGTCGACCTATCCGAAGAGTGAACATGGAACTTTCTAGGAACATAGTGCATGGCCTACTGTGTGAATTCCACTAGTATTCGAGAATTCACAGAGTAGTAGGACGGAGTACGAGTAGTAGCAGCTCTTAGGGCTCGTATATGGAGCACTGGGTAATGAAGGGTAAGAGGGTATAGGGTCTAAACTACTTTTGGCTGGATGACTCTGATAAGATATACGGGAGCGGGATAATGTTCTTGCGCCCATTGCCTCTTCAAAGCATGAAATAACTTCCTGCTACCTCGGAATTTTGGTACACTTAAGCTTACTTAAAAAGTCGCTCAGTCTTGCTCCGTATCTCCGGTCAAGATGGCCTCCGGGCGGAAGGACTTTTTGAGCCAGCCGGCCCCCGAAAACTATGTTGCAGGCCTAGGTAGAGGTGCAACTGGCTTCACTACTCGTTCGGACCTGGGGCCTGCGCGTGAAGGTCCCACGCCAGAGCAGATTCAAGCAGCGCTCGCAAAGAGAGCGCAACTGCTTGGTGCAGCCCCTCCGACTGCATATGGTGCGGGACGTGAGAAAGGTGGCAAAGAAGATAAGGCTGAGGAAGAGGAGGACGATGAGCGTTTTCAGGATCCGGACAATGAAGTTGGGCTTTTCGCATACGGACAGTTCGATCAAGAAGATGACGAAGCAGATCGCATATACAGAGAAGTAGATGAGAGGATGGACAAGCGCCGGAAGGCAAGAAGGTTGGTACCCTCCCTTCCCCTCACTCTTCCCATTCACCTATTTGATGCTGCGATTTGTTCATCGGGTTCACTCCCGGTTGTCTGGATAGAAAACCGACTTGATTCCTTTCGCCAATTATAGGGAAATCCGGGAACGTCAAGAACGAGAAGACTACGAACGGAAAAACCCGAAAATTCAACAACAATTCGCCGATTTAAAACGCTCATTAGCTTCCGTCTCCGAAGACGATTGGGCCAACCTTCCTGAAGTTGGAGATCTTACAGGAAAGAATAGACGAGCCAAACAGAACCTCCGGCAACGATTTTACGCAGTACCAGATAGTGTTCTTGCCAGTGCAAGAGACTCCACCCAATTCGAGACAACTGTTACAGATGACGGCGCCCATACCGACACTCGGGAGGAAGGGGTGGACGGGACAATAACAAATTTTGCGGATATCAGTGCTGCTCGTGATAAGGCCCTTAAAGTCAAGCTTGACCAAGCAGCTATAAGTTCATCCGGGGATTCGGCTTCTGGAAGTGCCACTAGCATTGACCCAAAAGGTTATCTCACGAGTCTCACGCAGTCTGAGCTGAAAGCTGGCGAAGTGGAGATAGGCGATATCAAACGAGTTCGCGTTTTGCTAGAGTCTGTGACGAGGACTAATCCGAAGCACGCGCCTGGGTGGATTGCGCTTGCTCGTCTGGAGGAACTTGCTGGTAGAATTGTGGCTGCTAGAAACTGCATCGCCAAGGGATGTGAGCTGTGTCCGAAGAGTGAAGATGCATGGCTTGAGAATATTCGGCTCAATGAAGGTCACAATGCGAAGGTAATTGCTGCAAATGCCATCCAGAACAATGATCGCTCCACAAGACTCTGGATTGAAGCGATGAGGTTGGAATCTGAGCCTCGTGCAAAGAAAAATGTTCTGAGACAGGCCATTCTCCACATTCCTCAGTCAGTTGTCATTTGGAAAGAAGCTGTCAACTTGGAAGAAGACCCTGTAGATGCACGCCTCCTTCTCGCAAAGGCGGTTGAAATGATACCGCTATCTGTGGAGCTATGGCTGGCCCTTGCCCGTCTCGAAACACCCGAGAACGCCCAGAAGGTCTTAAACGCTGCTAGGAAAGCTGTCCCTACGAGCTATGAGATATGGATTGCTGCTTCACGACTGCAGGAGCAAATGGGAACTTTCAATAAGGTGAATGTGATGAAGAGAGCTGTACAGTCCCTCGCCAGAGAGAATGCTATGCTTAAGAGGGAGGAATGGATAGCAGAAGCCGAGAACTGTGAAGAGGAGGGAGCGATTCTCACTTGCGGGGCGATTATCCGCGAGACTTTAGGATGGGGTCTGGATGAAGACGATGATAGGAAAGATATCTGGATGGATGATGCAAAAGCCAGTATTGCCAGGGGCAAGTACGAGACTGCCAGAGCCATCTATGCCTATGCTTTGCGTGTGTTTGTCAACCGCAGGTCTATTTGGCTTGCAGCGGCAGACCTTGAGCGTAATCATGGTACGAAAGAAGCGTTATGGCAAGTGCTCGAGAAGGCTGTGGAAGCTTGCCCACAGAGTGAAGAGCTATGGTTGCTCCTTGCCAAAGAGAAATGGCAAACTGGAGAAATTGACGAGGCCAGACGAGTGCTGGGTCGTGCCTTTAACCAGAATCCCAATAACGAGGATATTTGGCTTGCTGCTGTTAAGCTCGAGGCCGACGCCCAGCAAACAGATCAGGCTAGAGAGCTCCTTGCGACTGCTCGTCGGGAAGCCGGAACAGATCGGGTTTGGGTGAAAAGTGTCGCCTTTGAGCGACAACTGGGCAATGCAGATGAGGCGCTAGATTTAGTAAACCAGGGCCTTCAACTATACCCGAAGGCTGACAAACTCTGGATGATGAAGGGTCAAATCTATGAATCCCAGAATAAGTACCCGCAAGCCCGAGAGGCGTATGGAACAGGTACTCGTGCGTGCTCTAGATCGGTTCCATTGTGGCTACTGGCCTCAAGACTGGAAGAAAAGGCTGGTGCTGTCGTCAAGGCCCGCTCTGTTCTTGATAGAGCTCGGCTTGCTGTTCCTAAGAGCGCTGAATTATGGACAGAGAGCGTTCGAGTTGAACGGCGTGCAAACAATATGGCCCAAGCCAAGATCTTGATGGCAAGGGCATTGCAGGAAGTGCCAACATCTGGATTGTTATGGAGCGAGAGCATCTGGCATCTTGAACCGCGAGCACAACGGAAGGCTCGCAGTTTGGAGGCTATCAAGAAGGTTGATAATGACCCGATATTATTCATTACAGTGGCGCGGATTTTCTGGGGAGAGCGTCGACTAGAGAAAGCCATGACGTGGTTTGAAAAGGCTATTGTGTCCGACAGCGATTTAGGGGACGGCTGGGCTTGGTATTACAAGTTCCTATTGCAGCATGGAACAGAGGAGAAGCGGGCAGATGTGGTATCGAAGTGCGTCTCTACGGAGCCCAAGCATGGCGAGGTCTGGCAATCTGTGGCGAAAGATCCTACCAACGCGCACAAGTCGACTGAAGAAATTTTGAAGTCGGTCGCCGAGCGACTTTTGTAGGTAATCAATACGCTCGCATAATTATTCCACATTGGCTTGTAAGCTATATTCTGAAAGGTTGTAATATTTTGGAGTTGGAGAGGGAAACAAGAGATTGTACTAGTGAGCCTTAGAAAGGAGTAAGAATATAGGTAAATGGGTTCTGATAGTGAAGATTGGTCCGACAAGATCGATTTTAATACGTCTGTTGCACTCCATCATTCATCGAGACAAGAAATATAGCGGTTAGATGAAGCAAGGGGGAAATAGTACAGAAGCAAGCCAGGAGCAGTGTATGCGTAGGATGCCAGGTAGCCTTCATGGTTCTCAAAGTATATATAGATCACAACAACCGGCCAAATATACGGCAAAGGAAAAGAAGGAATAGTAAACCAAAGAGTGGGTATCGAACGAGTTTGCCGCACATCCAGAAACCCTTGTTCTTCTCTTTTCGTTTCTGTGTTTCTGTTATGAATCGTAGACAACACGTCTACCTATTAAATTGGACCCTGTGGCCACTCTTTGAAGCACATTTTATGCGCATTGCACCCAAGAACTGCCATGTTCGAGTTCTCGAGGAGGACTCTTGAACCCAAGTTCTCAAAACGCGCCAAGCTGTAAAGGGAAAGAAGCCAAAGGAGCCTCCTGACCGAAGAAAAAAATAGAAAACGAATCGAACGCTTGAAATCCATGCCAAATAAAAGTAGACAATGTCACCCCAGTAACAAATTCCCCTCATACTCCAAGTACGCCTTTAGATCCTACCAGGTCGAAATGCCACTGCTTTGGTCTCGTAGAATCAAAGACTTACAATAAGCCAAGAGGACATAAAAAGAAAGGGGAAATCAAAGAGGAAGAGGAGGCCCGAAATTATAATGAAAATCATGATGGAAAGAGCCGATGGAAGAAAGAAGGAGGGGGGAAGAATCAAGAGGCCATAGACAAGCACTCGTCCAGTAAAGACCCCAGCTGTTCTCGGTCTGCCATCGTGGCACCTTCCCATACAATCTCCCCATCATCATCAACCTCCATTGTGTCCGTCGAATGATTCAACTTCATACTGTCCTTGGGAATCTCCGCCACATCATCGGCTCGGTCTCTCTTGTCTGTTTCAAGCTCATCCTCAAGGTAACCGCCCATTATTTGATCAACAATCAGCGGCATATGACTGAGAACCCCACCACCGAGCTCTAAAGCCAAACGGAGGTCTCTGACCCCAAGTGGCTTTCTTACACTTGCTTCTTTGGCCTCGACAGGTAGCAAGCCCGTTGCACCATCTTTCACAATCTCCCCGCGTGTGAAAGCTAATTCTTCCCGTTCAAGCTGCTGACGATATTTGCGCATCATCATACCATTGATGGTGCCAGATGGTCCGTTAGACCTCGTACGTGAGAATACAACAGATAAAACTTCCTTCACAAAAGTTTCCGTGGCAATGGCCATGAACTCAGCGCAGGGTAGTCCTGCGCCACTAACAATTGACTCTTCGTAGCATATAGGGATCATGCGAGCATGAATGGACTCCGCATCTGGGAACTCACCGGTCTCTGACGCTAGAGGTTGCGCATAACGTTTTCGAATCTCCAGTTCCCAATCTACCGCCAAGTAGCGTGGTAAGCATCTCCAAATTCATAGGTGAAACATTGAATTTATTACACCTACTTGTTTTATTGAGACCGCCTGCACTTGCCGGTACTTGACTCGGCAGCTTTATTTGTTTTGCCAAATGATACTCCTCTAACTCATTAGGTGTAGTTTCAACGGGATCGTGCTGGTGAAGACCATTGTTAGAATGGAATGCGCACTCTAATGGTCCTCTACAACTTTGTAATCGTACCTCGGGAATTGCTTTTATTCGTCGACGATCTCTAGGAGGAAGTTGCATGACCTCCGTCTTTAGCCTCTGCTCCGCTGCATCCCCTGAGGTCGGCTTCGAGACCACCGACGGTTTGTCGTTCGCCGACACCCAACTTGCAACTCCATGATCCGGAAGGTCCCTTGTGAGGTTCCCAATAATTGCGCATATGAAATTATTATGGAGGTGCTCGGTTTTTTGGTCGGCGCAAATTATATGATCGACGCGAGACGAAAGTTCATTCTGGTTCAGTTGTCCTGTGATAAGGAATAGCGATGTTAGTTTATCCTCCAGAGGGTAAACATATGTTGAAGAGCAAAAAGAAAATAAAAAATAAAATAAAAAGAGGAATAAAAGGAATAGAAACCTGCAAGGATTGGGCTGAGTTCCGCTACGCATTCATACCTAGAAGAAAGAAAGTAGTGGCCTCCTTGTACTCGGGCCAGCTGTCGCCGATAGCGGCTTTCAGTTCCGTATAGATAGGTTCAAGATCCAGTCGCGGGACAGATATCAGCGCTTTGGTAGACTTCGAAGTCGTCGAGGTGCTAGGGGTCGCATTTTTTGAGGGAGTTATTGCGGTCGATGCAGACTCAGTCCGACTCAGAGCGGCCGGATCGATCTGCATGGTTGTGAGGCTCGCAGAAGCGCGACGGGCTGCGCGAAGCCGGGGTGGCGGGGAGAACTATTCCTTCATGAAGCAGAATACATGCCAGAGAAACCCGAAAGACAGTTCTAAATTAGGGAAAGGCTAGAGCATGCGAGGAACGAGGGGATTGGGATAGGAAGGGCACTGGGTCGATGAGCAAAGTGATGGAAGGAGGTTGAAGTTGATAAAATGCTGGGGTTGGATTTCTTTTCCCCGCCCAAAAAAAGAGGAACAAAAGTCACTGTATTCTCCCAGTGAATGAAGCGATATAAAGACTTCAAAAAAGGACTACTTTGTTTCTGAATGTTTTTTGATCCTGTATATTTATCGATTACTACATCTTTTTACTTGTGCTTCGTCTTCTGAAGGAACGCAGTCAGTTTGGGGGTGGGGGGGAAAGAGACTAATCATATAGCTTCACAATATCCTCGTCGAGTACTCCAAACAACCAGCTGATTTCCGCCATGATCCCCTCAATCTCTGTCGACAATTGACCAGTTACTAAAACTATAGATAAATTAGTCGATATTGTATGACCGGTTCATGCCATAATGTTCAAATCGCTTGGGATTCAAAAGTACAAATTGCGGTGTAGTCTCGACTTACTGTAAGCATACAATAACGCATAATCCTCGTCCGTAGACAGGCGGGATGCTTCATGGTCCTTGCGATAGTGGAAGAGGCGGGCAAGAAGCCGATCTCGAGCATGCTCAATGCTGGGAAGGACGTCGCTTAGCGGGTACTCGAGTTTCATAGAGGAAGCCATTACTATACTTGCGATCAGCATTGCTCTTTCTGATTGATCTCCTACACTCACCTGACAACAGATGGCTGATGCGCGACGACAATTGCTGTCTTTCCTTGTCGGTATATTGGAGAATACTAAGTTCGCCTTCAGATGATGTCATATTTTTATCAAGCTCAATATTTATCGCAAGAAAAGCGTCCACCATACTCCTTGTGCGGCGGAGAATGTTACTGTACGCCAAATCAGGGAATGGGCTTTTCAGCTCAAACTCGGAGCGGGCGGACGCCTGAAGAGACTCCAAGCGCGAAAGAAATCGTTCAATCTCCAGTTTCTCTCTTGGGCTCATGAAAACCGAATTATCTGTGTTGCTAGTCATGGTAGACAGGGGGCCGCGTTTCCAGAGCAGACTCATTCGAAGCCATAAAAGACTTAGACCATCCTTCAATCTCGTCCTAGCGCTGATGGGCCAAATCACTCGTGTGATGATAATACCCCAGATACAGCCAGACAGAACAGCTGCAACACGATGAAGAGCTATCTCAGTTATAATCGGACTCTCGCCTCCTTCGTCCTGGTCATCGTTCCCTTCCTTCTGGCTGAGGGAGTACGCGTACAATACCGAGAGGTTATAAGTAAGCATGATGAAGCGGCCCATCGGACCCTGCCCCTTGACTATTATGAGATAAGATGTCCACGTAGCCATGAATAGCCCCAGAGATGCGAGGCCATACATATTCCCACCTGTCACGTACCACGAAACGACGGCGCAGAGTGCCCCTAAGCAGGTACCCAAAAAACGGGCATATCCGGTGGTATTTGAAGCACCGATGGTCATCGAACAAACTAGCATGTATGACAAAAGACCCCATTCGCCTCTCCAGTGGGAGTAGAACGGTCTTGTAGACGGGAGAAATGACGGCAAAGCATACAGCGCCGCACCTGTACCTACTTTGATGGCAAATTTGGTATCATCCCGTCGAAGGATCTTGAGTGACTTCCAGATACGATAACCGAAGCCCTTTTTCCCCGATACGTTTCCCGGATGGAGAGATGATAACGATGTTTTACTGTGTGACTCAGCGTTGCCGACCTCCAGTTGAGGTTCAACACCACCTTGTATGAAATCTGCTTCAACCAATGGCTGCTCTAGAGGCTAGTCAGCATCATCTTAACAGCTTAGGCCCATCCTAGCCGAGGCAACATACCGGTATCCTTTGCTTTTACCCAAGCATTTCGTCGACACCAAAACCTCAGCCAGTTCCAGGACCTGCCATTGGGCCTCTCCTCAGCTTCAAGCTGCAGTTCATCAAGGATTGCTAATAGATCCTTCAGCTGCTCACCGAACTCCAGAAGTGAAAAACTAAAATGGCCGCAACTGGCAGCAACTTCCTCCAGATCCGCTTCGACTTCAAGGGTCTGAATATTTAGGACGTCCTTCTGTCGATATATAGTCTTCAACGCTTCTTCTCGGGATTCTCGATAGAGATCAAGTGCCCGGTCAAGACTGGTGCGGAACCTACTATTGATTGCGACCCTGTAATCCGGTGCAGGTTTGAAAGGAATCTCCTTGAAAATTTCTTTCAAAGTGAATGCAAGCGATCTCTATTAATGATTAGTACCTACCAAAATGTAGTTTGGTGCCTCGTTACCATTGATGGCCCTAAATGACCGATAAATAATGCGAAGATGTCCGCAGGAAGAAGAACGTGATCAGGCTCTGAATTAGAAGGGTCTCTTCCCAGACTTGAAAAAGACCTGTTTCTATCCGAATC